ACCAAAACAATTTACATAAAACAAAATTTGCCACTTTTAGTTTTTGGTGTGTAGGTGTAATTTCTGACCTATCATACATTTCTGTAGCCATTACAATCAAGATGGCATATCTATTTTCCATCACCCCAAAACGTTCTTTTGTGCTACTATGAAGTCTGTCTTCTTTCCCCATCTTCAACCTTATTATTTTTTTTCTTTTCTTTGGTTTTTGTTGACGGTTTCTCTGTGTAGCCCAAGCGGTCGCAGAACTCAGAGATCACCGCCTCTGCCTCCCAGTACGACGAGAGCCACCACGGCCAGCACAAACTTACATGGTTTACTCTTTCCCAGTGAATGTAATCTACAGAACATACAGCCTTTTGCATCTGGCTTCTTTCAACTGGAATATACCTTTGTGTTTATCAGTGCTTAAATATTTTATAATGATGGGTAGTGTCCCAGTGTGTGGACAAAAACTCATTTGTTTGTCCACTGACCAGATGATGGTTATTTGGACTTTTTTCCCTTTGGTGATTAGGAATAACGATGCAATAAATATAGTTGGATCCAGATCTCTATAGGGAAACTGTCTACTGCCATATTGTCTAACGTGGTGGGTGTATTATTTTGCTCATTGTCAGAACTGTATGGGATCCCTTTGCATCTTAAATAGTTTCATTTTATTAATGTAATAGTGAAACTGTGGTCAGCAATTATTTATATTTTGAACCCACAAAATAATGACAGTAATGCTAAGAAACAAACCCATTACGGGTGGTGTTTTCAACTGCTATCACATAAACTTCGCAGCAACTACAAGAAAGGTATGAGGCATTCCATTTTGTAGAGAAATATCCAGAATAGGCAGGCAGTCGGGACGGGTAGGTTTGGTTCCGTAAATTAGTTGCTGTATGGTTTTTTGCAAAGACTGTAGGTTTACTACTGAGCAGTAAAAGGGTGTGATGCCATTAATGCTCATTATATAGGGTTAGTATCACAAGCCTCAACTCTACTCCATTAGGCTGGCACTGACGCCACGCTAGCACGCTTAGAGCTTTAGTAGTGAACTCTGTCTCACTCGTGTTCCCCGTCCCGAAGCTAAGCATTCGTTCCGGGCGTCTACATCAGGCTCCACCGCGTCTCCGTTCCGCCTACCACCGTCCTCCCGCCCCGACAGTCCAACCACGCTAACCCCCACGCCCTCCGTCGCCAGCGCCCGAGGCGACCTCCTTACCATGATGACAGCCGCGGAGCAGCCGTCCGCGACCTCCCGGGTGCCAAAAACCTTCTGGGTCTCGCTGGTGCACGAGCCCACTTGGCGCAAGGCGGAACAGGAAAGGGCAACCCTGTAAGGAGGCCGAGTGAAGCGCGAGCGCCACACAGCCGTTCCCAGGCCGGCGGCTCTCCGCGCCTAGGCCGAAGAGCGGAAGTTGCTCGCAGGCGATATTTAGCTGACGCACCACCGGAAGTAAAGGAGGAGGGTGCTGCTTGTGGCTCCGCCGCCCGGAATGTCTGTAGGTTCATTCTGCAGGTATGAGGGTGGTTTAAGCGGTGGGGCGCTGTAAGGTGAGGCCGTTGCCAGTTGAGGAGTGGCGGGCGCCCCTTGCTCCCCGCAGTCTGGCGGAGAGAAGCTAGTCGTTGGGGCACAACCAAGTGTCCGGTGAGTGCCACGCTGTGCAGCGGCGACCCGGTCTTCTGTGGGGCACTGCGGGGCACGACTGAGAGCTGGCCACAGAAGCCCCAGCCCGTGATGCCTGCTGAATTAGGGACGTTTTTCTCCATCCTTTATCCAGGGCCACTGGCCCTTCTGTGTCTCTCCCGTCGCTAATGTATGCACCATTAATTGACATTTATTACGTAGAAAGTAAAACTGCTGGGCCAACTGCCAGGAGAGCAAGAGATAATTTTGGTTTTGTGGAGGCTCAGGACTTAATCCCCTGAATTCTTGAGTCCCTTTTTTTAAAATCCGGGAATTAGGACTGAGCGGACTTGGACAAACTGACCCTCGAGTGCTGAGAAGAAATTCCCAACTTGGGGCAGTTAGTTCTTTCTATGCTGTGAGTCCCAGGGGTCTAACTCAGGTTGTCAAGCTTGGTGGCAAGTGCCTTTACCTGTTGAGCCATCTTGGTGGCCCCAATCATGTAATATCAAAATCATTGATATCACCATTGTTCTCCTCACACAAAGTCTTAAGTCTTGATAGACTGTCAAGCCCAAATAAGTAGATGATAATTTTCCAGAATTCTCGTCACTTAAAGGCTTGAACTTGTGGCAATATATAAGTGGTAGTTGCTTTCTTTGAAATGCATTATGTCAGTTGGTTAATTGATAAGTTTCTAAGTACCTAAGTCTGACTATCCGAGTTTGTCTAAGAGCAATTCTTCAATTAACCGTGCTCCATTCAAAAAAAAGTGGCTGATTAGCTTTCAACATAGTCAACATCCTTTTATTTCACTGTCTGTTAAAAGTAAGTTTATAATTATGGGTTAAGATTTAATGGAGGGGGCTGGAGAAAGGCTCAGAGGTGAAGACTGGCTGCCCCTCCAGAGGTCCTGCGCTCAATGCCCAGCTACCACAAGGTGGCTCACAGCCATCTGTAGTGAGATTTGGTGCCCTCTTCTGGCCTGCAGGCTCACATGCAGGCAGAACACTGCATAATAAATCTTTTAAAAAATGATATAGTGGAGGAATTTTTGCTATATCAAGCATATTCTTTTAAAAAACATAATTTTTATTTGAGACATTTATACATGCATACAATTTTTTTTAATTTTGTTTTTTGAGACAGGGTTTCTCTGCGTACCCCTGGCTATCCCGGTACTCATTCTGTAGACCAGGCTGGCCTCAAAGTCACAGAGATCCACCTGCCTCTGCCTCCCCAAGTGCTGGGATTAAAGGTGTGCGCCACCACCGCCTGGCCATGCAATGTAATTTGATCATACCCACTCTCAACTCCTCACAGATCCATCTTTCACCCTAACAATCATATTCATCTTTTTAGTTTGAAAAATATTTCTTTGTATTATTTTTAATAATGATGTGTTTGTATGGGTATGTGCACATGAGTGCTGGTGCTTGTGGAGACGACTGAGGTCAGAGATGTCAGAATTTCTGAAGCTAGAGTCACCGACATTTGTGAGCTGCCAACGTGGGTGCTATGCTTCAAACTGAACTTAGGTCCTCTGCAAGAACAGCACACACTCTTAACCACTGAGCAGTCTTCAGCCCAGCATGCATATTCTTGATTGAAATTATTAGTTGTTTGGTCATTAATAATATAGCAACTGATAATATATTCTATTTTTTCTCCCCAGCAAGGGTGTTTGAGACAGGGCCTCTATAGTCCTGGCTGTCCTGGAACTCACTATGTAAGCCAGGCTAGCCTTGGACTCCCAGAGATCCAGCTGCTTCTGCTGGGATTAAAGGTGTGCACCACCACCTCTGGCTAACCAATAATATATTCCGCTGCCAGTGTCTGTATATATGCCAAGGTGGCCCCTGCTTTGCCTACCACCCAACCAATATAAATGTGAATACTGAAGAGGATAGTTAGTGTCTTAGTATTATTATTAATTTTGGCCTTCGAAAGGTCTTAACAGTCTTAGCGTCTGTAGGTTACTGTTTGAGAATCAGTGAGTTGCAAGGAGTTTTTCAACCTTTTCTTTGTCAGAGGTGGATGCACTGTGGATTCTAGAATATTTAGCAGTATTGAGCTGGGTGACAGTGGCATACACCTTTGATCCCAACACTTGGGAGGCAGAACCAGGCGGATCTCTGTGAGTTTGAAGCTAGCCTGGTCTACAGATCGAGATCCAGGACAGGCACCAAAACTACACAGAAACCCTGTCTCGAAAAACAAAAGAAACAGAACAAAACAAAACAAAAACATTTTAAAAAAAAAGAATATTTAGCAGTATCAATCTGCTAGCTGTCACTTGTGCCTCTCTGACAGTCATTGCCTGTGTCTCTTGAGCAAGGATAGTGTGTCAGCTTTTCTCTGTTGACAGCACTGGGTCAGTGACTGAAGACAAGTGTCTTGTACTTTAGCAACTGGAGAGGTAAGATGAGGCTTGGACTTTGACATTTGGAACAGATTCAAGACATATGTAGGAAATAAGGTAAAAGGAATTGGTGACTTCTGAGATTACATACAGGCTTAGGAAGACGATTTCAGCAGGACTTCCTGCATAACTGATTTATCATTGTCTCCCCATGTCCCAGGGTGTTAGATACTTCTTCTTCTTGTCACACTTTGATATTGTACTTGGAGCCCAGTGAAGACTTGGTAAATGTGGGTTTAGGGGCTTATTGCAGTGCTGAAGTCAAACCCAGGACCTCGGGCACACTGAGCAAATGCTCCACCTGGGAGCGACACCTCAGGGTTAGTGAATATAAAGCAGAGCTTCTCCGTTTCTCTAATCACAGGGAGACAGCTCACTGTGCTATATCTTTATGTGTTCTATTTTCACAGATTTAGGGGTAAAAAAAAATCAGAATATGTAGATAGGCTTTTGTTGTCAATGAGAAACTACCAAGTTTACATAAGAATATTTAAAATACTTAATTTTATATGTTTAAATAGATTTTTATTTAATTTTTAAAAATTTAAAGTTGTGCTTCAATTATATCTTGACATTTTGTTGGTTTGTTTGTTTTTCTTTGAGATAGGGTCTTGCTATGTAGGCCAGGTGGCCTCCAACTTGGCAAGCCTCCGTCCTCTGCTTCTCCAGGGCTGGGTTACAGGTATCAACCAAACTCTCAGCCTTCCCTATCGCTAAGAATTAAGGTGCCTTTTTTTTTTTTTTAAGGGGGACAGTTTAAGCTTAAGAACTGTTTATTTCATTTCATACGAAGTTTGACTTTTTGAATGATGCATTGAGTTTTTGGTAGCTAAAATTATTCCTATTTTCTAAAACATACAATCCTAGTTCTTATATATGCCTTACTGACTTGTAATGTATATGTTTAGTTTTATAAGTTTGTTTGTTTCTTTTTCCAGGAATAACATTTTTTTTTTCCAGAGCTGAAGACCGAACCCAGGGCCTTGTGCTTCCTAGTCAAGCACTCTACCACTGAGCTAAATCCTCAACCCCCAGGAATAACATTTTAGAGGGCCACAATGTTTACTCACTGGAGGATTTTTGCAGTGAATCATCAGAAAGTATTCAGTGTAAGTGTTTCTTACAAAAATGATTGTGCTTTATTAGCCTAATTATTTTTTTCTCAGAGGCTTAGTATAGCTTATCATTCCAAATTTAGTTTGGTCAAACTACCTTAATTTAATTGGAATGAAAAGAGCATCAGACAAAATTAAATGCTGTTCTCATGAGGTAATAAAATGTCAATTGTTTTTTAGGAGGCTGGTGTTTTCTGTCTCTTCCAAGAATAGCAGTAGTTAATGCTTACCTTTACACTGCTAACTAAGAGTGTGCTGTATATATATTTTTAAGTATCCTTAAGTTGAAACATCTGTGAAGTAACGGTCTGTGACAGTATGTCAAGATATAACACTATTGTTAAATAGTTAAGGTGAAACTTTCTGCAGAGCTCTTGGAAGCCAATTTCTCTGAGGCAGTTTGACATTTGCCTCATGTTTCTTTTCATACAGCTTCTTCCCTGTAAGCTTTATTCTAAGGCTAGAGCTCCATATATTATTTTGTAAACTCACATTTTCACTATGTAGTGCAAATAAGAATCCTCAAGCGGAACCATGCCCTCTGTCCCTCACCTGCTGGGACTGAATGTGTTTGGGCTGTTTTTCCAGCAATGACCCAGCAGGGAGCTTTGGAGAGCCTGTAACCCAGATGACACATGCCTTGTCATTTGTGGGAGACCAGCTCCCACATTTATTTACCCCAGGGACTCTTGAGGAGTGAGGGATAAGAGATTTAGATAGAAATATAGAGGGGAGAGAAACAGAAACACAAGACAGCCTCGGGTGGGCCTGGATTCTTATTCACCGGCCCAGAACTTTACTCAAAGGGGCTTTTTATAACAGTGCCAAGGGGAGGGGCAAAAGACCTCCCCCTTTCCTAGGTACAGCCAAGTGCAGACCCTTCCAAACACCCGGTAGCCAGGCCTGTGGTCCAATCATCCTCTTATGCAGTCCTGCTGGGTACAGCCACTAGGAAACCTCGGTGGGCTCCAGCAGTCATTAGGCTGTCAATTCATTTTGCTAGTTTAAAATAACTCAAGTAGCATTCTGAGTAATGCATATTTCTCTTGAAAGAGGATATGGAGAGATTTTTTTTTTTAAGATTTACTTATTTATTATCTATACACAATGTTCTGCTTGCTTGCATGTACCTGAACACCAGAAGAGGGCACCAGATCTCATTGCAGATGGTTGTGAGCCACCATGTGGTTGCTGGGAATTGAACTCATGACCTCTGGAAGAGCAGCCAGTGCTCTTAACCTCTGAGCCATCTCTCCAGCCCCGAGATTGTTATTTTATAGTGGAGGCTGTCCTCAAGCTCTGGATCTTCCCACCTCAGCCTCCTGATTTCTGGGATTATAAGCGTGTGTCACTGCACCAGCAACAATATGTATTTTCTATATTCCACTTTTGATATCGAGTGCTAAAATAAAATTAGTGTCATTTCCTTTTCTCTCTGCTAGACCATGTGTTACTGTAGAATAAGAGCAATTTTAAAAAGATCAAAGACTCGGGTGCCTCTTAGAAGAAACTACAGCTCCCCACCAGGTACAGATGTTAGATTCCTCTAATTTTACCTGAAATGCTTGTTTTCTCCTCTCTCACATTTCTTTCACGTTCTTTTTCTTAAAGAATCTTGTGTTTTAGGGGTTTCTAACCCATTTTAACTTCTTGGCTGTTTCCTTGAGATTATTAGGTGAGAGTATTTTGGTAGATGCGAGGAAGAATTGGTCTTAGGGGAGTTATGCTCCTCCTCTGCTGGGCCTCTGATGAGCTGAGCCGAGGCAGAGTGGTGGGTTTGGTAGTGGGCTCCACGTGTAGTGTGTGGGTCTGCTTGTGGGCTTGTACCCCACCTGGAAAATACTTACTTTCTAGTTCATTGCTGATTTTTATGTTAACATGCTTTCTGTCAATAGAGATTTTACTAGAAGAATTTATTTTGAAGAGTTTTAGAAGGAGTTTGTACATATTTATCTGGCATAGTTTAAATTAGATGCATGACTACTAGAATCTGGAATGTCCAGGAACTGACCACTTCATGCCTCATGGCCGTCCTGTGTTTGAAGTGAGCAAACACAGTACTGGATGAAAATAGCTTAACTTTTTTTTTGTTGCCAAACCAAACTAACCAAAGAAAACATTAAAGAAATAAGATGAAAGAGAAACACTGCTTAGCTATTTAGAAGTCTTCGGATCTTTCAGCCTCTGCTGACTGATTCTACTCAGGCATCTGTCTCTAAAGGCACCAGGCCTGGCGTAGCTGAGGGAAGGGAGACTCTAACCTGTATGGCAGCTTGTGATCAGCTGATCACTCTGAATGCTTCAAGACTTGAAAATGCAGATTTACATGACTGCACATTTAGAGTTTCCCTCTTATTTAGGTCCTACGGTGACCTTCTATTATATTGTTACCAACACTAATTCTACAGTTCTGTAACTGATTGAAATAAATCTGTATTGTTTTAAGGATTTGATTTAGAAATTGGTGTTCATGGGTGTGAGCTAAAAAAAGAAATCGGTATCCAGAACTTCTACTATCAACTATAACTTTCTTATGTATTGGCAAAAAATAAATCTTAAATAATTGCATTTTATTTAGCTCGATTTGGAACGTATTTGTTTTAAATTATTTTGTATGTTTTCATTTATAAATTACAGAGAGATTTTTATTAATTTAGCAGATTGATTTCAATTCTCTTCCTGTTAGGTGTAGTAGGAAATGATGTCAAATCCCTTCGTTCCGTCATTAACCCTCCTGTGGCCAAGTAAGTACTGCCATCATACAGCTTTCCAATAGGCTGTTGAGGAAGGCTACAGGTCGTCTTCGGCGGGCTTTCCTAGTGAATTATATCATTTCTATGTAAATGTTAGGATGTATCTCAAGAGAGATTTTTTCTCAGTTAAATATTAAGATTGTTTAATGTAACAAATGTATATAAGATGTTCTTAAAATGGTAATTAACCCTTTTGTTACTTAGCTATTTTGTCTGATAATGTGGTAGGATACATCAGTGGGAGTGGGTAGGGAACAAGAGAGGGTGGTGTGGGTGAATATGGCCAAAGTACATCACATACATATATGAAAATGTCATAGAACAGTTCATTATTATGCATACTTAATATATGCTGATAATAAAACACAAATGTTCTGCATTTGTCTTTGTATATAATTACATATATTATAGGAATACTAATCACCTTTAAAATTTGCACAGCATAGTTATTTTGGTTGTAATATGCACCTCATAATGCATGCCTTTTTCCCCTTTTAAACAGAATTCGTAATATTGGAATTATGGCTCATATTGATGCAGGGAAAACTACCACCACAGAACGAATCTTGTACTATTCTGGATACACAAGAGCATTGGGAGGTTAGAATGGATTCCTCCTCTCCCCAACCCCCACTAGCAAAAGAAATCAACTAGAGTATGGCATGGAGTCTCTGTTGTCTAAACGACACATTAAGATAAGGTAGCTGGCAACAGCACCAGAGGGTCTTCTGAGATTTAACTGAGCATTGAGTCCTCCAAGGCTGTCATGGGCCTCATTTGACACTGGCCTCCTGGAAGGTTGTAGGACAGAAACACACTTAGCATTAGATGTTTCTTTGTACAAGAGTGCCCTAGTGAGAAGACTCAGTTACAGTTTCCAGGATTTACATTAGGGACATTCCATATCCCACTCAGTGAAGCCCAAGGTATGTAACTCCAAACTGCAATTCTTTCCAAGTCAATAGAGTTCACCAGTAAGAAGGTAGGTTTTATTTTGGGGTGTGTGTGTGTGTGTGTCCTTGCCACATAGTTGACATAATTCTATTGTCTGATTTTTATAAGAAAAAAACTAGAAAGTTAAGGTCAAATTCTCTTATGGAAAAGGAGACGATTTGTTAATCCTTAGCTTAGTGTTGTATTTTCTGAGGTCTGCAGTTTACTGCTCAGTTGTAGCTTTTGCAAATTGTAGTTAATTCTTAGTAGGCTTGCACCTTGGTTCCCCAGAGCAGCATTTTAGTTTTATTTTCATCAGTTTTTCTGTGCATTCCTTGTTTATTTTTTTAACAATTTCATGTACTCATATAAAGTATTTTCATCCATCACTACCTTCTTTTCTCTTCCACCCCCTTTCTTCCCAACTGGTCCATTTTTTCATTTTCATGTCTGTGTATATGAGTAGATCTGTGTGAGTGTGACTGTGAGTGTGTCTGAGTGTGTGTGTGTGAAAGAGAGAGTGAAAGCGTCTGTGAGAGTGTACATATCAGTGAGTGTGTGTGTGGGGGGTGGGAATATGTGTATGCGTGTGAGACTGAGTTTAAAAGTGTTATTCGTGGCCTGGAGAGATGGCTCAGAGGTTAAGAGCACTGACTGCTCTTCCAGAGGTCCTGATTTCAATTCCCAGCAACCACATGGTGGCTCACAACCATCTGTAATGAGATCTGGTGCCCTCTTCTGGCCTGCAGTCATACATGCTATATACATAAAAAATAAATAAATCTTTAAAAAAAAAAGTGTTATTCGCAGGAGCATAGATCAGGGGTTACCGTTTTTAAGTGATGCTGGCTGAGTTCCATGGTAGGTTCAGGAGATCTAGTTTATGATATGTTCCTATTGGGATCCATTTTCCTAGACACTTGGAAACATAACAGACTTGATGCTTAATAGAGGAAAAGAACATTAGGATTAAAGTCTTCATGATGATAGATTCTTAAACATGTGGCCACCTGGATTTTTCATTATTCTAAATGAGTATACAACTGACAGCAAGATGTGGGGCATTGTCAGGCTTCTATTGTTTCATAAGTCTGATGAAAATCCTCCCTCACACCCCCAATTTGGATACCTGAAGTGAGTGTATAGTTTCTAAGTTTCAACTTTTTAAAATTATAAAAAGTTTTAACCAGTTTTTTTTTTTTTTTTTTTTGGTTTTTTGAGACAGGGTTTCTCTGTGTAGCTTTGCGCCTTTCCTGGAACTAAAAATGTGTAGCCCAGGCTGGCCTCGAACTCGTGATCCTCCTGCCTCCGCCTCCTTCAGCAAATCCTACCGGCGTGCGCCACCACAACCGGCATTAACCAGTTTTAAGTGTATTTGAAGTCAATGTAGATTAAGTATCCTTTATCCATTGTGAGTGAGATATCAGAACTATTTCAGGTGTTACAGTTTTTAGTTTAGGATGTCACTAATTGGGCATTCCTGTTTTGGAAAATCTAAAACTGGAAATTGGAAATACTTCAAAATCTGAAGCATCAAGAACTTATTTTAGATTTCTGTAGGCCTAAAAGCTAAACTGTACAGCTTGATGATCCTGAGTTTGTATTGTTGATCAGAATAATAATCATAATAACATGAGCCAGACGTGGTGGTGCACACTTTCCATGCACATGCTTGGGAGACAGATGCAGGCAGATCTCCATGAGATCAGGACTAGCCTGCACTACATAGTGAATTCTAGGCCGGTCAGGGCTACACAGCATAGCTAGAGTTGTTGCAAATACTTTTCTTCATTTTCCCTGTTGGTGTTTAGGGGTGTGTGTGTGTGTGTGTGTGTGTGTGTGTGTGTGTGTGTGTGTGTGTGAAGGGAAGCTAGAGGCCATGTTAGGGATCTTCTGTTGATGTAAATGGTAGTATAATGGTGTGATATCTTACATTCATGAATTTTGAATGGTAAAAATAACTTTCATGTATTTATTGCCTGTAAATTTAGTCAGAATAAAAGGTGTAATTCAAGAATCATTTGAATGAGCTTTCAGGATTAAGTTTATGCCTGGATTTATACTGAAGACTTTACCTCAGGCTTTAGTTGCAGACAAATCCTTGCTCTGGAAAACTTATTAGTGAGAGTCCTTGTAAAGGGTAACTTAACTTGGGAAGGATGTTTTCTGTTCCTCATGCAGTGTGGCTGCTACTTGGCATTATCAAACTGGACTAGATTTTATATCCTGCCTCGTTTTGTCCTCGTGACAGTGTGTAAGGGTAATGCTGGTAGGTTAGCTTTACTGTGCAGACCAGATAATCAGGATGGAGGGACAGGAGTAAAGTTAGGAGGGAGTTTAGTCAGTGGGCTCCATTGAGCTACTCTACCCCCAGCAAGGGGTGTGGGGCACAGAGGAAACAAGAAGCATCAAGCTAGGGCTAAAGTGAAAGTGTGTGGTTAGTAGAATTTTTTTTTTTTTTTTTGGTTTTTCGAGACAGGGTTTCTCTGTGTAGCTTTGGAGCCTGTCCTGGAACTCACTTTGTAGCCCAGGCTGGCCTTGAACTCAGAGGGATCCGCCTGCCTCTGTCTCCCGAGTGCTGGGATTAAAGGCGTGCGCCACTGCTGCCCTTAGTACAATTTTTTAAAAAAGAAACTTTCATGACAGAATTACTAATCCTGAAAAAACTTTTTCTCTTGTGAGGATTTTATATAGAGAAAATAAAGGACTCTATGTATTTAACTGAGTATTTTGGGGAGATGCTGAGAACCAGTAAGATGCACTTGTTTTGAACTAAACTGTGGCCTATTTTTCCTGATTAGATGTCGATGATGGAGACACAGTGACAGATTTCATGGCTCAAGAACGAGAAAGAGGCATCACCATCCAGTCAGCAGCTGTGACATTTGACTGGAAAGGGTACAGGGTCAATCTGATTGACACACCAGGTATGATGCAGCTTCACCAGGCAGAGATACTGCTGTGTCACTGAAGCTGTTTTTCTGGGTTTTGTTTTTTTAATCATGGTCAAAAACATTAAATTTCCTGTCTTAGCCATTTTTGTTTTTGTTTTTGTTTTTTTGGGTTTTTTTTTTGTTTTCCGAGACAGGGTTTCCCTGTGTAGCTTTGCGCCTTTCCTGGATCTCACTCTGTAGACCAGGCTGGCCTTGAACTCACAAAGATCCGCCTGCCTCTGCCTCCCAAGTGCTGGGATTAAAAGCGTGTGCCACCACCGCCCGACTTGTCTTAGCCATTTTTAAGTGTACGGCTTCATCACATTTATTATATTCATGTCACTGTGAACCAACTCTAGATTGTGCCATCTTCTAGAACTGAAACTCTGTACTTAGTAAACAACTGCTGTCCTTTGTCCCATCCCCACCGTCCTGCTTTCTACATCTGTTCACATGACTGCTCTAGACACATCCTGTAAGTGGAATCACACTGTATTTAACCTTTTGTGATTGGCTAATTCATTTCAATTAGTATAAAGTCTTCACGTAACATGAATTCTTTCCTCTTAAGGCTGTATGATATTCCATGTGTCTGTACTTGTCTCAGTATACGTGAGGAATTGATTTTAGGATCCCATGTAGATATCAAAATTTGTGGAAGCTTAAATCACTTGTAGAATGGTGTAATATTTCCATATAACCCATATACATTCTCTTGTATGCCTACAGCACCAAATAAAAGTGATTGTTTTGTAAATAGTTGTTATTTTATGTTGTTCAGAGAATAATGACATGAAAAAAGTCTGTCCATGTTTAGAACAGACACCATTTTTCTGAGCGTTCTCAGCCCATAGCTGCATCTCCAGATTCAGAACCGTGGTGTGCGGAGGCCACTGTCTGCACCATGTTTTGTTTGTTTGTCCACTGTGAATGTGGGTGTACAAATATCTTCTTGAGGCACTTCTTTTGTGTATGCACTCCCGAGTGACATTGCTGACCCATGGGATTGTTTTGATTTTGAAGATTTTAAGTACTTCTTATTTTTTCTTAGGTCATGTGGACTTTACCCTGGAAGTTGAGCGCTGCTTGAGAGTGTTGGACGGCGCAGTGGCTGTGTTTGATGCCTCCGCTGGTGTAGAGGTAAAGCAGTGCCAACGTGAAGCCAGTGGAGGACCACAGTGGGATTGGTTAAAAATGTAGACCGTATCAGAATTGGTTAACTAAATCCCTTTATTTGGTAAATCCACATAAATCAGGTTGTGGTTAAAGGAAATTGGAATTTAGTAATGAAACATGATCTCAGGTTTTTCACAATGGAAAGAAAGTTGGTTTCTTCTAGAAAATATGAAGGTTGATGTTGGGAACTGTGAGGAGCCTGGGATTCTGTTGATTTCAAACTAACAAGTTCCTCTGCGTTGGTTTCATGGATTCTGTTAGAAGTCACAAAGTCACTAGGTGAGAGAGAATCGGGACTTTATTAGTCTACATGTAGTAACCACCAATGAGAATCAGGGGACTTTACTAGTCTACATGTAGTAACCACCGGTGAGAATCAGGGGACTTTACTAGTCTACATGTAATAACCACCGAGTCAACATCTTCCCCAAGTCCTAGTCTAGAGAGCGGCATAAAAGAAGTCAGGGCCGCCGGGCGGTGGTGGCGCACGCCTTTAATCCCAGCACTCGGGAGGCAGAGCCAGGCGGATCTCTGTGAGTTCGAGGCCAGCCTGGGCTACCAAGTGAGTCCCAGGAAAGGCGCAAAGCTACACAGAGAAACCCTGTCTCGAAAAACCAAAAAAAAAAAAAAAAAAAAAAGAAAGAAGTCAGGGCCAGCTGGGCATGTGAAAGGCTAAGAGGAATGGAAATATTTTACAATGTGCAGTTAGCATTCCTCCATGTTGCTCTGAAGGACAGATCGTGTGTATTTTCTAGAGCAGTCAGCAAACCTACCTTTCTCTCCCAAGGGAGATACTACCTCATAGACTGTTGGCTATAGAAGCATCCTTAAAAGACAGTGTGGAGAGGGGACTCAGCACTTGTGGCAGTGCCGACACATGAATAGTTATCTCCTCACAGTTAATGTAACGACTCTTGAGGGGGGCTATAGTTCATTTCTAGAGTACCTCCCTGGCTTGTCTGAGGGCCTAAGGGCAGGTGCAGCATTTCTGCCCTCTCCCTCATACACGCAGGTGTGCACTGAAGTCTTTGAGTAAATTCTGAAAATGGATTTGTTAATAGAGCTTATTGCTAGTAGAATGAATTACACTGTTTTCATTTTTGTTTCGTTTTGCTTTGCTTTGTTTCAAATTGTGTCTCATTATGTATCATGGCTGGTCTGGAACTTGCTCTATAGGTGAAGCTAGGCTCAAACTCACAGAGATCTACTATTCTAGATAAAAGAACTTTAAAGAATCATGAAAACTGAATCGATTTTTTAAATCCTTGGTTGGATCCTAAATTTAAAATAAATTAGAGGACATCATTGAGGAAAACAGAAAATTATATACTATGTGAAAATATATGTAAAGCTTAAAATTTCCTGAATGTGATCATTATAATTGGTTATTTATGAGAAGATCCTTATTTGGAAATAAATGCAGCTATCACCATGTCTCCAACTTACTGTTGTGACCCAGCCATCTCCCCTTATGTACTTGGTCCCCATGCAGGGCTTTTGAGAAGGAGGTATCAACAGAAGATACCATTTTGTACTCTGAAGAGTGACTCAGATTCAAAAGAGCAATAGCAAATATTGATGAGGGGGATGTTCAGCTGGAGCTCATGGTTGTTGATAGGATAGTAAGACAATACAATGCCTCTAGAAGGCTGTTTGGCAGTTTCTTATAAAGTTACATATGCACCTACACTAAAACCCAATAATTCAGCCGGGCGGTGGTGGCACACACCTTTAATTCCAGTATTCAGGACGCAGAGGCAGGTGAGTTTGAGGCCAGCCTGGTCTACAGAGCCGAGTTCCAAGACAGCCAGGGCTACACCGAGAAACCCTGTGTCAAAAAAACCAAAGAATAAGTAACTAAACAAACAAACCAATACTTCCTTATCTTTCACCAGAGGTTTATTAAATCCTATCTCAAAAAACAAACAAACAAATACAATACACCAATACTTCCTTATCTTTCACCAGAGATTTGTTAAATCCTATCTCAAAACACAAACAAATAAATAAAATACACCAATACTTCCTTATCTTTCACCAGAGATTTGTTCAGAATGTTTACAGTGGCTAGACCCAATAGCAGCCCCCAAGCTAGCAGTTACCTAAGTGCATATCCCCTGATTGATAGAGAAGTTGATCTGTCTGTGTAAAGGGATAAGGTGGACAAAGCCATACTAAGTTATATGAAACTCATGAATAGAATATGTACCTGTGCTGATGGATCAGAACTGGTTTCTCACAGAGGGCCGGAGAGATAGGAGAAAATTTCCTAGAGTGACAGCATGCTCTATGGATTGATTTGAGGACTAGTCACACAAGGTCTGTTTCTATCAAAACTCTATCTATATGCTTAGTCTATGGATTCTGTTGTGTATAAATTTTACCTAAAAAAATAAACAGCTGAACATTTCATAGACTTTTCATGCTTCTCAGGCCTTAGGACTCCATGAGGTACAGATAATTTAATAGAATCAGACTCGATTTATAAACTTAATGTGTGTAGGAATGAAATCAATTATATGAAAAGCATGTATGAAATACTTATTAATATAGGTAGTAGTCTATCCCTCACATGTTATTGGTTCACATGAACATTCAAATATTTCAGTGAAATATGTGATTTTTATCATAATAGTGCTTTAATTCTTATTTATTCCTCAAGGCAGAATCCCTTTTTTCATATGAAAAGCTGACATTAGGAGATGTGGTGGCACCTGCCTGTACTCTCAGCACTTGGAGGCGGACGCAGAAGGATCGGGAGTTCAGGGTCAGCCTTGCTATGTAGCAAGTTCTAGGCCAGCCTAGGCTTTTGAGACCTGTTTAAAAAAAAATGGTAATTAAAACAAATTAGTTCATTGTTTCAGACTGGGAAAAAGGACGTGAAACAAAAGTAGGTCTTCTGGTTGTGATTTAAGTTCCCTTTTGAGAGCTCTGGATTTTAAATCACTTTGTGTGGGAACCTAGTTCACCTAAAAGGAAGCACTGTTCTCAAGCAGCATGAAGTATCTTCCAATCTCTTCATCATATTCTCTGTTGTGTTCTCCAGGGAGCAAAAAAGGTCCCTGGAAGTAGACTGCAGAGGTTCTGATTCTCTGCCAGCATCAGGCCCAATTCCACATTACCACAGATTCATGGATCTGTTCACCCCGTGTCTCACAACAGCCACAGCATTTTCTCCAATTTTTGCTTTAGGCACAGACTCTGACCGTGTGGAAGCAAGCTGACAAACACAAGATACCCAGGATCTGTTTTTTAAACAAGATGGACAAAACAGGAGCAAGGTGTGTGAAGAGTGCTTCCTAGGCTTTAAGGTTAGAAAGCAAAGCAAGAAGTCATGGCGTATAGCTGAAGCTTAGAAAAAGCAATTCTGGCCGGGCGGTGGTGGCGCACGCCTTTAATCCCAGCACTCGGGAGGCAGAGGCAGGCGGATCTCTGAGAGTTCGAGGCCAGCCTGGGCTACCAAGTGAGTCCCAGGAAAGGCGCAAAGCTACAGAGAAACCCTGCCTTGAAAAACGAAAAAAAAAGAAAAAAAAAGAAAAAGCAATTCTAAAGTATAACTATATACTTTAGATATCTGTAATATAGATATTTAATTATAAAGTATAATTATTTTATGGAATTAAAAAAATCTAAATTTCAAAGCAGTTGTTGTTGAGATCTGCTACGTGGTGAGCCGTCTGGATCTATGCAGCACATTTTGTAGAATCCTGATGGAGTGCAGTCTTGCTGTTGCTGATGATTCTCTTTGGAGCTCTGCAGCATCCCCCGCTTTGCTCCTGAAGGCTGCTGTGACCTCCTAGTTGCTACAGTTAGAGAGTAGGGTTGTTTCTTATCGTTAACTCAGAGAGTGGTGTCTTTCTGTGTCTTCTGATTTTCTTTAGTTATTGGTTATTAAGCTCAGCAAAAGGGAAGTGGGAAGGAGAATGTCCTGTATGTAAAGCAGAAAATGATTGACACTGAGATGCAGTGACTGCATCAAGGCTCATTTATACATACATTGTTCTGGCAACACAGAGAATCAAAAATTTATGAAGGAGTTGGTGAAATGTGAACAGGAATGAATCGAGAATGTTAAGGAGTGTGGAGGAAATGTAGGAAGACATCTTGGTCAGTGGTGAGAGTGTGGTAAAAGTTAGGCTGTCTTTCCCCAAGACCACAGTTGTGTAGTTTTGTGGTTATGTGGCTTCTTTGGCAACTCTGTTTAAAGTACCCTTGATTACTAATGGCACAGCAACCTGTAACATTTACTAGACTTTGAACCTTTCCCACTTGGAATCTCTTGTAGTCCGTAGAAGTACTCATTGACTGACTTAAGTGTCTGTAGTGATAAGGAGGGCAATGCCTGAATTCTAGGCTAGTTCTCAAAGATGCTGGCGCCAAAGTGATATGCACGTATGCATAAATCAGCCTGCGTGCCAACCATAGCAATTGTACTATGGGTAGCCCACCCTGTGTTAGCATAAAAACAAGCATCATAGCATACGATGCTAATACACAGAACATTAGTCAGTCTGGCTCTCGGAAGAGAACCAAGAGCGTATATAGCTATGGAAGATAGAATCCTTAATTCAAATGGAATCTTGCGTGTAACTCTAATTAATTAACTGTGACTTTAATCTTGCATCACAATTTGGTTATGTGAAGTTTGCAATAATAATTCCTTAAACTTCCCCAATGATGAGATAAAGTTATACTCAATTGCTTTTACCAGGTTTGTTTAAGATACTGCCCTGTGGGAAACAGTGAGCACTACAGAGACTAAAGCATCGGGTTAGAGAACGTCCTTAAGCCTGTTTTGAGAGGCTTTTACTGTGTTTCTAACGGGTGACCTCGCTTTTTACAGTTTTAACTATGCGGTTGAAAGCATCAGGGAGAAGTTAAAGGCGGAGCCTCTGATTCTACAGGTAATTGGTTAATTGATATCCCATTCTGCTATTTCCTCATCAATTTATTGTGGCATACACACTCTTGAAGCAAACTCAAACCTTAAGTAAGTACAGCTAAAGATTTTGGTTGAAGCAGTTAAGATTTGAGGAAGACGATATAATGGTAGGTTTTGTCGCCGGTGGGCTTCTGCGTTTGTATCATTTAACAATATAAGCACCCTCTGACTTACAGCTGCCAATTGGTGAAGCCAGAACTTTCAAAGGAGTGGTGGATGTAGTAAACAAAGAAAAACTTCTTTGGAATTCTAACTCTGATGATGGAAAAGACTTTGAGAGAAAACCCCTCTTGGAAACAAGTGATCCGGAATTGCTGAAGGAGACTATTGAAGCAAGGAATGCCCTGATTGAACAAGTAAATACTTTATTTTAAAATTCTGTAAGTGTTCAGGAACTTTTTGACAGATTTATTGTGAAATTTTATATAAAATTACATATGTAATATGTAAAATGTAGTGAGTGAAAATGAACGCCAGTGTGTCTACGACCCACAAACAAGTGAAATAGTAACTGCCTGTTTGCTATTTATCTGTACGTTCTGTTTGCTGTTTATCTGTATGTTTTGTTTGCTGTTTATCTGTCCATCCTGTTTGCTGTTTATATGTTCTGTTTGCTGTTTATCTGTCCATCCTGTTTGCTGTTTATCTATATGTTCTGTTTGCTGTTATCTGTCCATCCTGTTTTTTAGCTATACATTTTTTGTAGTTGAGTTTTTTTCCTTTTAAGATTTATTTATTCATTTATTTTTATGTGTATGAGTGTTTTTCCTGCATATATTTGTGTTTACTCTATGTATGCCTAGTGTCCAGGGAGGTCAAAAGAAGGCATTGGGATCCTGTGGAACTAGTTATTGGCCGCCATGTGGGTGCTGATATATGAACCCAGGTCCTCTGCAAGAGCAACAAGTACTCTTAAATGCTGAGTCATCTCTCCAGTCCTAGTTTGATTTTATTGTGTGTGTGCTCAGAATTGAACCTAGGACTTGGTAGATAGATGCTAAACATGTGCTTTATCACTGAGCTATGCCCCTATACTCCAACATATTATGTTAATCTTAGCATTAGTTTGCATATTCTGTCCTTATAAGTGGAGCAGTATTGTTTGTATCTTATTTTATATTTTGATGGAGACTGATCACTGTTGGTATGTGTGTGTATTATTTTCAGTGTTGTGTGGTATTCTGATATGTTATTATAGGAGTCCCAGTACTTTAGAGATTGAGGCAGAAGGATTGATGTGAGTTTAACGCTAATGCAGGTTACATAGTGAGTTCCAGGCCAACCTGAATTGTAGTGACCTGTCTCAAAGAAAAAAGACAAACAGAAAAACCATGTTATACCTCCTGTGCAATGTGGAAAATTTTCCTGAAATCTCAACAACAGAATCTCTGCATCAAGGAACCTGCCTATCTTTTCCTTTACCAGATGTCAAATTGCTTAGAAAAAAAATGAAAGCCATCAATTTATTAGAGTTAATATATAGCTCAGGTCTTCATTGATTCTAAAAACTTTTTTTTTTTTTTTTTTTTTTTTTGGTTTTTCGAGACAGGGTTTCTCTGTGTAGCTTTGCACCTTTCCTGGAACTCACTTGGTAACCCAGGCTGGCCTCGAACTCACAGAGATCCGCCTGGCTCTGCCTCCCAAGTGCTGGGATTAAAGGCGTGCGCCACCACCGCCCGGCTTGACTCTAAAAACTTTAATAGAACATAGCAAGATTGCTAATGCTCTAATGTTTACACTATATCAATATTTGTGGCAATAAATAATACGTATGTTAGGCTTCTTGAATCTTACAGTAAAGCTTTTGAACCTTTGATTTTTCACTTCAAAATTGAATTGGTCTAAGTTAAAAAAAAAAAAAAAAAAGCTTTTTAAGACAGTCTTGGCTATGTTGCCCAGACTTGCCTGGAACATGCCATCCTATTGCCTCATACTCTTGAGTACTGGGGTTGCAAGTATGTGCTACCATACCTGCTCAGTGCAGACAGATTCTGGCATCTATCTTGTATAAGTAGGTATTTTTAGAGAAATTATTTGCCATTATAACTTATAGTATTCATTGACTTTATAATGAACATAATAATGATTGTTATTGGATTGTGGTTATTAGGCTGGTTAAGTGCTTTACATGCACGCTTATTCTCACAGCATGTATCATCCCCACTTTACAGATAAGGAGTCAGAGTTTAGTGTTTAAAACATTACAGCTAATAAAGGGCAGAGCTGGGATCTGAACTCAGGTCAGAATCAGATCAGAGCTCAAACTGCTACCCACTTTGCTACATTTCCTCTCCTCCTCCTTCTCTTCTTCCTTCTCCTCCTTCTTCCTCCTTTTTATCCTTCTTCTCCTCCTCCTCCTTCCTCCTCCTCCTCCTTCCTCCTCTATCCTTCTTCTCCTTCTCCTCCTCCTTTTTTAAAAAATGTAGTCCTGTCTGGCCTGGAACTTGCCTTGTAGACCAGGCAGCCTTGAGCTCACAGATCTGCCTGCTTCAGCCTCCCAAGTACTGGGATCAAAGATGTATGCCACCATGCCTCCCTGCTAGACTGCTTCTCTAGATTAGTAAGGCATAAAAAGAGCAGAAGTAGAACTAACATTGATCATGAATTGGACACATAATTGGTTCCTTTTTCAGTGTGTGTATGTGTGTGCGCATGTGCAATTTTAATACTGAACAGTTATAGGCATAAAGAAGGATCTTATAATCCAGATGGATAGCCAAAACACAATCGCACATATTGGCTTTTACTAGGACATGATAGTGTATGATGTACATAAAGAAAATTAGGTATCAGTAGCTAATAACAGATGCTGATTATATGTGTGTGGGTGTATGTTTGAATGTATGAATGTGGATAAAATTTAGAGACTAATACCACCTCAGGTATATTAGCCCCAATAAAAGAAAAAATCCACACATATGTGTTGGTGAGTGTAGGACAGATGTAATCCTTGGGTACTGCAGTGGGAATTCAGTGATACAGTTACAATAGAAAACTATATAGGAGGGACTGGAGAAATGGCAACAGTTAAGAGCACTTATTGTTCTTGAAGAGGACCCAGGTTCTATTCCCAGCGTGCACACGACAGCTAACAACTCTCTGTAACTCCAGTTCCAGAGTATCTGACACTTTTTTCTGATCTGTGCAAGCACCAGGCACACATGTGGTGTACATACATACATGCAGACAAAACACTCATACACATAAAATAAACATAAATATATCCTTAAACAAAAAAAGAAAAAAACAAAACCATATGAGAAATTGTAAGCGGAAGTTTCTGTCCCTCTAGCAACTCCCAAATACCTGGTAGCCACTTCCCAAATTACCACACAGAGGCTTATATTAATTATAAATGCTCGGCCATTAGCTCAGGCTTATTACTAACCAGCTCTTACACTTAAAATAACCCATAATTTTTATCTATGTTTAGCCATGTGGCTTGGTACCTTTTCTCAGTACAGCGTTCTCACCTTGCTTCCTCTGCATCTGGCTGGCGACTCCTGACTCTGCACTTACCTTTTCCCAGTATTCTTAGTTTGGTCGCCTTGCCTATATTTCCTGCCTGGGTACTGTCCAATCAGCATTTCATTAAACCAGTTCAAGTGACTTATCTTTAGAGTGCACAAGAGGGTTATTGCACAGTGGGAAATATCAAAAGGAGGCCCCTCCAAACAGTCCACCTGGGGTCTGCACCCCAAGGAATTAAAGCAGTGTCTTGAAACCACCTCCATTCCTAGTGGCATCATTCACAGTAGGCAAAAGTAGAAACAACTCAAGTGGCCATTAACGGATGAGTAGCTCAACAAAATGTGGACTGTTACCCTCCCTTAAAAGGGAGGGAGTTCTGGCATAAGGGGCAACATTAATAACCCTGAGGCCATTGTGCTCAGTGAAGTATACCAGCTACTCATGCGCATGGCCCTACTTTGTGAGGAAATTCAGAGACAGAAAGTAGAACGGTGGTTCCCAGAGGCTCGGGAATGGGAAGATGGGGAGTTGTTTAGGCTTTCTGTTTGCAAGTTGAAGCATTAAGGAGATTGTGTAACACTAATATAAATGAGCTTAATACTACTGAGCTATACCTAAAAACAATTAGGATGGCAAACTACTTTAAAGAGGCTTTAATGGTAAAACTTGAACCACCATTAAATTTATCTAAATTAAGACCCTAAGTGTGAGCTAGAATCAGCTTTCTGTGTCTTAGGACATCTTTAAAGGTGAAATGTAATGAGGATAATAATAGCTAATACTTATGGGCACTTACTGTATGTTCTGAAAGTCTGATTAGAATTGGCTATTGATCCTCACTACAGCCCCAAGAGGAAAGTGACCTGGACCAGCAGGTTGTTCTTCAGTGACAGGGTCCTGTTGGGGTGGTACCAGGGTATGTGAAACAGAGAGAAGATAAAAACTGGGCTTGGCCAGTGCCACTTTGAGATCTTTGGCAGCAGTTAATTCACACAGTATTGAACCTGTATGATAATGAGTATTCAGAGACGGGTAATACCTGGGGGGTGCTCACCAACCTAAGACAGAGCGCCTGTGTGGCCTGGGCAGGCGTCTCCATGATGGGTAAGGTGACCTGCTGACGTCCCACGCAACCTAAGTCAGAAGCTCATTTTTTAGTAAAAGGGGGACCTGTAGGGTCCTGGTCCCTGTTTTGGGTAACTGTTGCCTTGCTTGCTGACCTTGACCTTGATATCCTCCCTATGCTAATTCCCTGCCGGGTTCTGCCCTCCTGAATGCTTAAGGAAAGTTCCTTGTCTGTGTATCCTGCATAATGGGCGTTAACAGCTTAGATGCAAGATTGTAAAACATGAACTTCTGCCCTCCGGGGTTCTCCCATTGCGCTGTAAGCTTGTATTTAAGACCTCTTCGCTCCTTCAATAAACAGTATTCGGCATTAAAAAAAAAAAAGAAAAGAATATATTCTGCTCTTCCCAACACTAAGCAAAATAAAAGTAAGAAACAAACAAACAAACAAACAAACAAAAAACTGGGCTTGGGAAGTCTTCCACAAATTTTGTCTTATGCTACACAAGTTTATTAAGAAGTACAGCATTTTATATACTGTGTGCAGGGTGAAAAATGAACAATGTCAGCAGAGAGCTAAGTGAGACAGTGTTGGCAAAGAGAACACAGGGTACCTCAGGCACAGCTGCCTTAGGACTGATAACCACAGCCCAGGGGGAAGAGTCGGGTCCCCAGAAGCTGCAACCTTGACTCCTCTGAGGAGACACTGGCTTTAGCATCAGAGTGGCCTTGCCAAGTCCACCTGTGGACAAGGACACAGAACTGAGTTCCCTTTGTCCTTTCGTCAGGGCCTCTGAGAAAGTTGGGTTGGTGTGGCTCCCCACAGGAAGGCACTAGTATTAATGAGTTACCAATGAGTTACCAACAGATGTGATGAAACCTGACTGAGGTCTGCACAGGCTGGACTGTAGGACATTTCTAGAGTCCAGTTGCAGAAGCTGGCCTTAACCTCACATCTAATGTCACTGCTTTCCAGGCCACTTAGGCTCGTCTCTCTGTGTCTCCTGTGCTTACAGTTTGGTTTTTGAATGTTTTTCTCCTTCGGACTCTCACCCACAATTGAAACTGTCTTAGGATTATGATCATGATTTGTTTTTGGTTTTTGTGACAGTGTCTCGCTTTCTAGCCCAGATTGTCCTGAAACTTGCAGTCCACCTGCCTCAGCCCCCAAATGCTGGCATTGCAGGTGTGTGCCGCTCTGCCCAGCCTGTTTTATTAGTTTGCTGTCAGCTGTATTATCTGTTTCTTTGAGGCAGATGGTTATGAGAAGAACAAACTAGGTAATTACATTTGTGTTTTTGAAGTGATGCCAGCAACCAGCAAGTGAAATGTCTTACTTCAGTCAGTATGGTAATCAGATTAGGTCTTTCAGTTTGGGAATCATGGGAAATCTTGTGATCATTATGCATTTATAATATTAGAGGAGTACCAGTTGACACGTTATGAACAGAAAGTGCCCTAATTTATCCTCAAGCTATCAGTCCTTTGTATGAATATCATTTGTTATGCATTAGGCATTTTATCTCTTTTTGTGGCACTGAGTAGATAACCTGTGATCGAGTCTAGCTCTGACTCTCTGTGACTTTAGGAAATTCACAACACGCTTTCAATTTCCAGTTTCCTTTTCTTTAGAAAACAAAAACCAGACTGTGTTTTCAAAAGGTTCAAAGAGTTGTTTGGCCTGTGTGTTGCATGCAGGGTATGTAGCGGCTTTGAAAGATCTCACTGGTGCATACTTGTAAAGTTAATAGCTAAGGATGAAACTAAATACAAGCTATGCAAGTTTGTCTTTCTTTACAGGTTGCAGATTTGGATGATGAATTTGCTGACTTGGTTTTAGGAGAATTTAGTGAAAATTTTGATTTGGTACCAGCTGAAAAGGTAATGTGTTATTCACTCATTTAGAAAAAATTTTACTAAGTGAATATGGTTTGGTTTTTCTGTCTTTGGAGTGTGTGTATATGTGTGTAAGCAGAGTTTTCCTGTCCTAACTGCTGGCTCAAAAATAACCCGAAAAGGGCTTACTATTAATTACAAATGCTCAGCTGATAGCTCAGGCTTGTTACTAACTAGCTCTTACAACTAAACCCATTTCTATTAATCTGTGTGCTGCCCTGAGGCTCTTGGCTTTTACCTCTATCCCATTTTGTGTGTTCTACTCGTTCTGCATGTGGCTAGAGACGCCAGACTCCGCCCTTCTTCCTCCCAGTGTTCTCCTAGTCTGGCTTTCCTGCCTAACCTTATTCTGTTCAGCTGTTGGCCAGTCAGCCTCTTTATTACACCAATCACAGTGACATATATTCACACAGTGTAAAGGAATATTCCACAGCATATGTGTGTGTTAACTTTTTGCAGTATTAAAAATGGTGGCTTATGCTGGGCAGTAGTGGTGCACACCTTTTAATCCCAGCACTTGGGAGGCAGATGCAGACAAATGTTTGTGAGAGCAAGTTCCAGGATAGCCAGGGCTACACAGAGAAGCCCTGTCTTGAGAAACAAAAAGCAAAAAAACAAACAAACAAAAAAAAATGAAAGTCACTGCTCATGTATATAAGTACCTAATGCCAGCAGCATGCTGCTTCCAGATACACTACAAAGTTAGAAGCTGAATCATTTTTCTGTACATAGAGTTGGGTCAGTTAATTTTCTCATATCAGTAGCTCTCTAATTGGGCCTGAGACCCACTCAGTAAGGGGTAATTATCCCAGGTACTGGAAACCTAGACAACTCCTGGGGCTAGTGAGGTCATGACTCTTAGAGAAGGAGCACCTACCGCCACTTCTAGGCCAGCAGAATTCCTAACTGTATTCTAGACCTTGTCCTTATGCCCACAGGTTAAGTGTGGCTCCCATCATGCATCAAAGAAGCTCCTCTTTGCAGGAACAGACTGCTGCAGAAAACCACAACTGGCCATAGTGCAGAGATCAGCCCCAGTACATACAACCCTTTTTCAGTATTTTCAAGCATCCATTATACCTTAAACTTTTCTATTTTCTGAAGTTTGCTGTGTTTTCAGAAGCCACATTGTAATGCTCATAAAGACTTATTCTAGTGAACCAGAGACAACACCAGACATCCAATATGCTGAGTAGTGACTAATGATATATATATATATATATATATATATATATATATATATATAAATAAATATAAATAAAGCCGTACACAATGATGGAGGTGTGGGGAAGAGTGCTGTTTTATACAGGCGTTCGGGGAAAGCCTCTGACTGAGAGATTCTGACCGGAACTTGTGTACTGTGTACAGATCCGTGTTCATTTTCTGTGTCTACCTTTAGCTACAGACTGCAATCCACAGAGTGACGCTGGCTCAGGCCGCGGTGCCTGTGCTGTGTGGGAGTGCCTTGAAAAACAAGGGCGTTCAGCCCTTGCTGGATGCCGTTACCATGTACTTGCCGTCACCTGAGGAGCGCGAGTATGGGTTTCTGTAAGTATGTGACCAAATACACTAAAGCCATACGGCTGCAGCCATTTCAAGTGGCCATTACAAAAACAGTGGTGGAGACTGTCTCTGTAATGATATAGAGCCATAACAATTGTCACTTGAAAAAGACATTTTGACCCTCTTTTCAAACCTGTCAGAGTTGTAGGTAGAACTACAAAGGTGGTTTTTTCCTGTGTATGTTGGTTCTGCTATCTCTGCTGGGTTTTTGTTTGTTTGTTTTTTGTTTTTGTTTAAGGTTATTACTCATTAGTAGATATGGTTGTATTCATCTAAATTTCAGGATTTTCCTGTGGTAAAACATTCTGTGGCTATAGAGAAAGGTCATTGTTTTCTTCCTGCTGGCTGGCTCTGTACTTGCATAGTAGATCTCTAACATCGGAAGTAGCGTTAAGCAGAAGAGCAGAGAAATGGGTTTTGTGTTAACAAGGACAGTAATCGTTTTTCACATCTCTAAATTGGAAAGGCATCATGTGAAGTGGGTGTGGGCATGGCTTCATGCCATGTAGCCTTGCCCCGGCTAATCCAGGTTACTTAACCTCTGTGTCAATGAAATGTAGGCGATAGAAGCCATTTCCTATGACTTAGAAAAATCCAGTGAGTCACTATTTATTAAGCATAAGGACCAGTGCTGGCATGTAGAAAGTTTCCATATTTATACCTTCAGTGTTAAATTCAGACAAACTAGGACTGAGATTAGAGAAAAGCTATTGTTAGAAGTGCTTAATTTACTCTGAGTCATAGACTTCCTTGAGACTGATGAAAATACCATTTATCTTTGCTCAGAAAAATGCACCTATGCAGAAAACCTGTCAATTTCAGGAAATCTCAAACTTGTACATTTCTTTAAGAATCCCATCTCTGTAAACAAGTCCCCGTTTCTACTGGAGATTGATAGTATTGATAGCTGGACACGGAGTGAAGTGAGAGCCTGTCAGCAGTGGTTAGAAAGAATGTTCATTATCCTGTAGATTCCTTGGTTTTATGACCTTGGAAGGCTTTTCAAGGAGAGAGTGTGTGCAGTGAAGATGTTTGCAAATATGGCAGTACTTGAAAGAGAACCCATCATTTTTCGTTTTAGTTTTGAAGATTTATTGGAAAGACCTCCATTAAGTATTTTGTCAGGGATGGAAGAGAGGGCTGTAGTGGCGTTACTTCCTGGGCTGGTTAGCTCTACCACAGAAACATAAGGTCTGTGGGAGCACCTGGATGGCCTGTGCACACGGCTGGGGGCCTCTAATACCTCCTTTGTCTTGCAGGCAGTGGTATAAAGGTGACTTGTGTGCACTGGCATTTAAAGTGCTGCATGACAAACAGCGAGGACCCCTGGTTTTCCTGCGCATCTACTCGGGCACGCTGACACCCCAGTTGGCCATCCATAACATTAACAGGAACTGCACGTAAGGGGGAGCTTGGGTTGTTTTCTAAAACTGCACTCATTGATTGAAAAGTACTTTACTGATCTAAATCACGGTTTCTATAGGGAGAGAATGAGTCGTCTGCTTCTGCCCTTTGCTGACCAACACGTCGAAATCCCTTCCCTGACGACCGGTAACATCGCTCTGACAGTTGGTCTTAAACAAGTGAGTGACCACGTGGTTCCATAGCAAATCATGTCCATGTGATTTATAAATAGTTTATAATAGCAAAAAATTCACAAATCATCTAAATGTCTGTTATATGAATATGATAGCATATCCATCAATATGGTTGAATGTCATACATTGGCTAGAAAGAAAAGTAGATTGAGAGAAACCCACAGACAGGATGGATTATAGTCAAATGAAGTTCAACTCCAAGTAAAGTCTACTACTTGTTGAAATGTATGTGTCAAGTTTATTTAAAATACTGCTTTATTCACATGGAATCTTTGCCTGTTTATATATGGGGAAGTTGGGGGGTCCTCTCTTTCTCTGTCACTAAGTTGCCCAGGCTTACCTTGAACTTGCTGTCCAGCCCTGGCTGGTCTCAAACTCTCCACCTCCATGCTTGATAAGTGTTTACCTGTGTTGATCATGGCAGAAAGTTTGATCTAACCTTACCACTGATCAGGTAATGATGAAAGACATTTTGCTATCGAGGGCTCTTTAAGGGCCAGGGTTTGGGTTTCTTTTGTTCCCAGTCGGTTCTCAGTCTACAGCTCATCAGTGCTTGCACACAGTAGGTACAGCCTAGCTATTTATGGAGTGAATGGAAGGATCTACTTGGACCCACATCTGGTTTGGGGGGGTTAAAATTCAGGACTTTCTTTTAATTCAGATAGTCAAATGTAGTTTTCTATTAAACTTTGGCATATCTCATATTGGGATAAAAATTGTTACTTTAACCTTTTTAACTCTTCATGATTAACTGCAGGTTTCAGAAATGTTTAGGAGAAAACTTTCATGGTCTGAATTTTTTACCTGGGGTATTTTGGAGAAAGGATTTCTCTGTGCAGCCATGACTGTCCTGGAACTTTCTCCATAGACCAGGCTGGCCTCGAACTCAGTTATCAGCCTGCCTCTGCCTCCGGAGTGCTGGGATTAAAGGTGTGTGCTGCCATGCCTGGCTGAACCTGGCGTTATTAATTTGTCTTCTGTCTTCCTAAAGGCAGGACCTGCTCCTTGTGCATATTTGAAGGAGCACTACAGACATTTGGAGAGTAGTCTACTGAGGGAAACCAGCCCAGCCTTGATAGTCCATACGACTTAGGAATGCATCTTAAGTTGATTTAAAATGCTGCTTTATCCCCATGGAACTTTTACTTGGTGTCTCTGTGTGTGTGTGTTCTGCTTAGTTGGATATTCGAGTTAATAGAGAATTTCCTGTAAAAGAGAAAGCAATTCTTAACTGGTGTTAAAATACTTCCTGAGTTTTACTGAACCCGCCTTGCCATGATGGTGCAGTAGGTATTTTATATATATACATACATGTGTGTGTGTGTGTGTGTGTGTGTGTGTGTGTGTGTATGATTATTTGTTAGAATTTATTACAATGACATTTTAGATAGAGTTCTTACACAAGGTAAATGAGCTTTGCTTATGTAAAGTTGTAAGATTTGTCAATTTATTTCTCTTTAGTTGAATGAGAAGAATGTGCTACACTATGGTTTTGTCTTGTGGTTTTGGGTGGAAGATGAATGCTAGCCAGGAAGCTGTCCCATTTGCTTACAGACTGCCACTGGAGACACCATTGTCTCTTCCAAGTCCAGCGCCTTAGCTGCAGCCCGTCGAGCAGGAAGAGGAGAAGAAAAGAAGCACGGGACAAACAGTGAAGCGGAGAGTCTGCTGCTGGCTGGGGTGGAGATTCCAGAACCTGTTTTCTTCTGTACCATAGAACCGCCATCAGTGGCTAAGCAGCCAGGTACGAACAGTGTCTGTGGGTCAGTCCACTGGTGTCTGTACAATGAGGTCGTCACAGTGAGTCCTCAGCAGACTTCCTGTGTGATAGAGTTACGTTTTACTTGCCCTTGCTGATCAGCATTTCTTGTGGTTTGGTCTGGGGTTTTACCTAAGTCGCTTTGATTTTTACAAAATCAAAGGTATATCTTAGCCATTTTTCTACTTTGATATTCTTCTCATTCTTGTAATGCGTTTGTTTGTTTCTTTGTTGTTGTGTTGGTTTTTTTGTTTTTGTTTTTTTTGATACAGTGTTTCTCTGTGTAGCCCTGGCTATCCTGGAACTCATTCTGTAGACCAGAGATCCACCTGCCTCAGCCTAAAGGCGTTCACCACCACCACTGGCCTTGTAATGCTTTTGATGGGAGTCCAGGCAATTGACCCTACCCTGCCCAGCCCTCCTCGTGTGTTAGATTAGTTAGGACATGAACTGTAACCGATTCACTTCTTTGCATCTAGAGCATCAACCCGTTCTGATTCCCTGAGGATGGCTCGCCATTTTGCATCGTGGTTTCTCTTCTTTCACCTAGTCTTGCTTACACTGTAACGGTTCTCCCTGAACTTGTCTTACACTGTAATGGTTTCCGCTGAACTTGTCTGTCTTTAAAACTCTCTCGGTCTCAGCTCAAACTTCAACGCTTTATAGGACTCTCAATGAATTCTCAATTATGAAGACCACCTAAGGACAAACTTTATAGTTTTCTTTAATCCCCTTAAGAACAAGTTGGACTCATAGATTACAGCAGAACAAGAGCGATCTTTATTTCCCCTCCACATCTCCTAAGAGGTAGTGTGCAAGAACATCTCTAGCCAGGTGGGGTTGTAGTTCTTCATCTACCCGGCTGGAGTGCACATGAAAGAAATCAGAGTGCAGATGTAAGGCCCTGAGTAATGAAAGAAGCTAGGTCTTTTCTTGTCCAGTTGCTGAAGGAACAGTGTTTAATGAAAGGCAGATGTGGCAGGGGCTGGAACAGTGGCTCCTTGGCTAAGAACACCTGCTCTTTCAGAGGTCCTGAGCTCAGTTCCCAGCACACACACAGCTGCTCGCAGCTGCCAGTAACTCAAGTTCCAAGGATCTGATGCTCTTCTGGTTCCTCGGTGCCAGCCAGTTATTGGTGTATGTATACACTCAGGCACTCATCCATAACACATAAAAGAAAAGATGTAGCAAAATCCCCAATCTGAAATGCATGAAATTTGAACATTTTTCATCTCAAGTATTTCAGATAAGAGATACTCAGTTTTTATTATCATTTCAACATGAAGTAATATAAAAAGTATTAATGAGATCAAGAGAGATTGCTCAGTGGTTAAGAGTACCAGCTGCTCTGGCAGAGGACTGGGTTGGGTTCCCAGCATCCAGTGCTGGATCATGGTGGCTAGCAACCATCTGTAACTCAATTTCCAGAGAATCTGGCACCTTCTTCTGGCCTCCAAGGACATGAGCATGAATGGTGCCCAGACATACAAGAAGTCAAAGTAGTCATACACATAAATCTTTTTAATGTACTATTTTTTATATTAAGTCTTTGAAATCTGGTGTGCATTTTACATTTATAGTACCTATTAATTCAGACCAGTAATACTTAAAATGGCTACTATTAGACAGCCCAGCTCTAGAAAGCCTGGTTTATATGCCTAAGAACAATTCGAATGAATACAGTTGATAAAGGATTAGCTTTTTAATCTGTGGGTCAGCGCCTTTCTTCAGCTGCACTTTTCAGTCCGCAGATCTTTTATAAAGAAGGCAAGCATATTTATCAGCTGAGTTTACTGTTGCCTTACTCCACATAGCACATTTCACACAGTGATTCATGTTCATTTCTCCTGTAGTTGAGAATTCACCTTGGAGTGTCAGATGTGATTGTATCTTCCCTTTGCTGGCTCATCACCGTAGCCAGTGTTTATGAAGGCGTGTGTGTGTGTGTGTGTGTGTATGTGTGTGTGTGGTCAGCTCCCAGACTTGTCTTTATGAAATAGAAGCAGATGAGGTCACTGGCCCTTTTTAAGCCCTCCAGTGGCTTCCCAGTACAAAGCCAAACTTGTCGGCATGGCCTGTTAGACAGAGCATGCCCCCCTGCCTGGCGTCTCCTCCTCACCTAACGCTTCTCTTCATTGGCTGGCGTCTGGCTGCCGCTTTACCCAGCTCACCGTGGAGACGCTTGCGCATCACTCACTCTTAAGCACCTCTCTTTGGAATTGTGTCTTACCTTGTTTTAGTCTCTGCATTTATGGCTTTTTGAAATTTTCTTTTTTAAATCAATGCACCTGCTTGTTAATCTATACTCCCCACTTCAGATTCATTGTTAATTTACTTAGAAATGAAGTGAAGATAACAATAGGTATTGTTTAATCACTCAGATTTGGAACATGCCTTGGAACGCCTTCAACGTGAAGATCCCAGTTTGAAAGTGAGGCTTGATCCTGACTCTGGACAAGTACGTATATTATTATGCAGCCCTAGGAGGGAGAGAAGGAAGGAAGTGGGACATGTATATATACTACTCTATGCTCCTGAAAGAAAAAGCTCGGATTCATAATTTAGGTTTCTCTTTATGTATATTGTCATTCTAAATAAACATTCTCTTCAATTCTCTAAAATAATTACATTTCACATATCACTCCCCATCAATTTTGAATTTCTATAATATGGGCTTTTGTGAAGTTTTGAAATAAGGGTCAATTCTTGTGTCTTTTACCCTGATGCTTATAGAAGCCAATTTCTCTGTTATATTATGCATGTTCAAACTAGCCTAGGGGTTGTCACTGCCTACAACATTTAGGAACTGTGTATGTGGCTGGGAGGTTTTAGAGGGAAGTTATTTACCCTGTTCTCAAGGTGTTGTCTTCAGCATAGTTTCAAACAGTTGTCTGCTTTTTCATTAAGATAAGGATTTTAGGGCTGGAGAGATGGCTCAGAGGTTAAGAGCACTGGCTGCTCTTCCAGAGGTCGTGAGTTCAATTCCCAGTACCCACATGGTGGCTCACAACCTTTTGTAATGAGATCTGGTGCCCTCTTCTGGCATACAGGCAGAACACTGTATACATAATAAATAAATATTAAAAAAATAAAAAAAAAAGAAAAGAAAAGGATTTTAGCTGGGTATAGTGCATGCCCTTAATCCTAGCACTTGAGAGGCAGAGGCAAGTGGATCTCTGAGTTCTAGGACAGCCTGGTCTACAAAGTGAGTTCCAGGATAGCCAGGGCTATATAACAAGACCCTGGCTCAAAAATACCCCCCCCCACCCCCACCCCCACCCCCCCCACCCCACCCCCACCCCCCCCCACCCCCCGGTAAAAAGGGTTTTACCACCAGGTCTTTGGTGGCTCATGCCCGTGGTTCCACTCCTTGAGAGGCTGAGGGAGTAGGATTGCTGCAAGTTTAAGGTGAACCTGGAGAGCACACAAGTAAAACCCTGTCAAAAGAGCAAACCGGGACTGGAGAGATGGCTCAGTGGTTAAAGGCCCTTGGCTGCTCTTCTAGAGCACCTGGATTCAGTTCCCAGCCCGCATGGTGATTTGCAACCATCTGTAACTCCAGTTCCAGGGAATCCAGTGCTCTGTTCTGGCTCAGCAGGCACCAGGCATGCCAGCGGGTACAGACATACATGCAGGCAAAATATCCATACACATGGAAAATAAAAAACTAGGGCCAAGGAGAAGCCTCAGTGAGTAAAGGCGCTGACTGCACAGGCCTGATGACCTGGATTGGATCCTGGGATCCAAATAAGTTCTTCTCTGACCTCTACACATGCCTCTCCTCTACATCACACAAACATACCACACATACAATAGTAAAGAACAAATAAATAACAACAAACTGCATACAAAGAAAGAAGATAAAAAGCATTATCCAGAAAGAACATGGATTGGACTCCTGTTGCATTGGCCAGAATTTGATACAGGGATCAGGTACCTTGATGCCACGTAACTCACCCAGTCGGTAATCAAACTGTCATAAAAGGACACTAAAATTGATTTATTATCCTAGCCAGAGAAGTCAGTAATATTTTCCTATAGGGGTCCCCAGAAAGTCTTCAAAAGAAATTCAGTTGTAATTATAGAAAATTACTTAAATATGTGAACATCATTACTTTTTTTTTTTTTTTTTTTTTTTTTGGTTTTTTTTTTTGAGACAGCGTTTCTCTGTGTAGCTTTGCGCCTTTCCTGGAACTCGCTTTTTATAATATTTAAAAAAAAAATTTTCCTGTATATAGTATTTTGTTTTATTTTTTTCCCTTTTATAAACAGACGGTCCTGTGTGGTATGGGGGAGTTACATATTGAAATTATTCATGACCGAATCAAGAGGGAGTATGGCCTAGAGACCTATCTAGGGCCTCTGCAGGTGGCATACCGGGAAACCATCTTAAACTCAGTTCGTGCCACAGGTAAAAAATAAAACATTTGGACATTCTGGGTTTGTTCAGTGTTTAGTTGTGTAAATAGGGGGTCACAGTTTCTAGTGTCTACCACAGTTTTACTGTGTCAATTTAAAAAAAAATTTTTGATAAACATAGAAGGCCTAGAGCTGTTACTACCTACTCATCAGACAAACGCGTTTTCCAGTGGCTCTGGGACAGGATAAGGCAGCGAAGTAGGTGGCTTGTTCCACTTGGTACTCACCACTGAAATGAGTATGAGAATTTGAAGTCAGTGGATTATATTTATTTTGTAAAATGAGTGCTGATAGCATTCTAGAGAAAGTGCAGTTTGTATGTTTCTGTCCTGATGTAAGTGCTCGGGTTTTCTGTATTTGGTTCCCTTAAGCAAAGTAACAGTGAGCACTATTTACCCCAAAGTGAACTGTGCATGGACCAGAAATGCTTATGATAATGAAGTACCCGTAAGCACACCCAAAATTTGTTGAGTCTGGGTGACCACATTTCGGTGAAACCTGGAAAATTAGCCAAGTATAAACACAGCTACACAGGAGCTCTGTTTCTGCATTGTACATCTGCAACAATAAAAATCAAGGTAAATATGAATAATACTCTCCTTTAAATTAATGCCGGAGCTGGTTGGCATGAAACTCTGGAGTTTTAAAGGAAAAGGAACCGAGAGTCTGGGAAAGTAAGTGACCTCTGCAGCCATCAGCTGGGGGACTCAGCTGTCCTCTCTGTCCCAGCACTGGAGGCCACTTCTCCACAAAAGCAGGCAGTAGCGGCTGGGGGCAAGTACCAGAGCTCGTAATTGTAAGCTTCTAATACAGGTTTGTGAGCCGAAATTCACAGAACCTGTTTGGCCCGAGAAACTTTAAGAAGGATTTCATGTTGGTTACTCATGAGTAGGTAGCACCCTGAGGAAGCTGAAGGAAGCAGAAGGCCTCCAGAGAGAGGTATTTCAACTCAGGCCTCAAGGGTGTCTCTCAGTAAGGTACTATACAAAAGAGAAAATAAATGCTTTAAAAAGGGAAAGAAGCCGGGCGGTGGTGGTGCATGCCTTTAATCCCAGGCACTGGGGAGGCAGAGGCAGAGGCAGGCGGATCTTTGTGAGTTCGAGGCCAGCCTGGGCTACCAAGTGAGTTCCAGGAAAGGCGCAAAGCTACACAGAGAAACCCTGTCTTGAAAAAACCAAAAAAAAAGGGGGGGGGGGGGTTACGGGCGGGTGGGGAAGGTCCCAAGATTACAGGAACCAACTTGCCAGCTTGAAAAATATGTTCATGTCAAATATGGAGTCCTTAACCACCAGGGGAGAAGGTGAAGTGCAGCAATTGCACACTGTTGGGGAATGGTGTGAATTCACAAGTATCTGAGGCCAGTAACGGGGGAGTGTGAAGTGCCTGCTGATAGGTCAAGGAGCATGGCTGGGAGGGGAACAGCCTGGGAGAAATGGACGTGGCAGAAGTGAGCACTGTGCAAGGGATGCATGCAGGTGAGGACACTAGACAGTCATGGCAGAAGTGAGCACTGTGCAAGGGATGCGTGCAGGTGAGGACACTAGACAGTCATGGCAGAAGTGAACAGATGTGCACAGGGATGCGTGCAGATGACACTAGACAGTCGTGGGAGAAGTGAACAGATGTGCACAGGGATGCGTGCAGACGACACTAGACAGTCGTGGGAGAAGTGAACAGCTGTGCACAGGGATGCGTGCAGACGACACTAGACAGTCGTGGGAGAAGTGAACAGCTGTGCACAGGGATGCGTGCAGACGACACTAGACAGTCGTGGGAGAAGTGAACAGCTGTGCACAGGGATGCGTGCAGACGACACTAGACAGTCTTGGGAATGGTTGTGGATGACTAGTGCTCCAGAAAGTAGGTACCGGCAAGTTGTTTCTTTAGAAATTCCAGGTTTCGTGTTTATTTTATTTTTAGCGTATGTATTCTTTCTTGGATATTTCATAATAGTGAGCTCAAAAGGAATCTTAAAGGCGCAGTTTCTGCTTTCGAACCTGGGATATGAGTCGCTGCATTACATTGCTACTCCCACGAATGTAGCAGTTTTGTTTCAGTAGAATGCTGGTAGCAGCTGTTGGTAACAAAGCTGTGAGAGCGTGGACATAGCTCAGTGGTAGAGCAAGGCCTCTGGGTTCAATCCCCAGCACTTAAGGTCCAGCCTAGCATTAAAGGTGGCTCACGCCTTGATGCCAGCACTCGAGAGGCAGAGGCAGGCGGATCTCTGTGAGTTCAAGGCCAGCCTGGGCTACAGAGTGAGATCCAGGACAGTCAGAGCTACATAGTGTGAGACACTGTCTCAAGAAAAGAAAAAAAGTAGATTAAAAAACAAAACAAAACACCAAGGAAAATTGTTTAGCTATGTTTCAAGAAAGTTTTTGGGGAAAGAAGTATTAAATGTTGCTGAAAGAATATATGAATTTTTGTATGTTTATTTGTTTTTCGAGACAGGGTTCTCTGTGTAGTTTTGGTGCCTGTCCTGGATCTCACTCTGTAGCCCAGGCTGACCTTGAACTCACCGAGATCTGCCTGCCTCTGCCTCCTGAGTGCTGGGATTAAAGGAGTGCGCCACCACCGCCTGGCTAGAATATATGAAATTTAATAATTTGAAAATTGGCAGAGGAAGAAGTTTTATAGTTTTTATGAGCAGCTTTTTGTACTCTCTAGATGTTTTATGATCTGAGTGTTCCCTTTTTTTCAAGCTCTGGTCATTTATTCTAGTGCGAGTGTGCCCGTGTGTGTGACAGGGTTTCTCTGTGTAGCCCTAGCTGTTCTGGAACTCACTTTGTAGGCCAGGCTGGCCTCGAACTCACAGAGGTTCGCCTGCCTCTACCTCCCGAGTGCTGGGATTAAAGGCGTGCGCCACTAGCACTGGGCCATTTATTTGATACTCTTAAAGACTTATTGAGTGGACTCAGACTTAGAAGCAGGCAGTTTCAGCGAGGGCAACCTATATCCCTTGGCGGTCTGTTCCTGGCACCTTTCTTTGGCTCCCTTCATTTTTTGGCCAAAAGTTTAGCATTGTCTGCATCTCTTTATTTTTCACGCATTTCTATGTGTTTCTTTTCAGATACCCTGGACAGGACTTTAGGAGACAAGCGGCACTTTGTGAGCGCAGAACTGGAAGCCCGGCCAGTGGAGGCAGCAGCTGGCATGGCCGTGATTGAGTATGCTGACTGTGTCAGTGAAGGCCTAGTGCAGGCCTCCCGTGAGGCCATTGAAAATGCAGTCCACAGTGCATGCCTCCAGGGTAAGGGAAGCAAATGAGCGCACTCTCCCCCAGACTACTTAATCCTTTTTTCTCATCCTCTAGTCTGAGCCGCTTTCCTGTACATAGTAGCATCCTCTACCTCAGCGTTCCACTGCTAGCCTCCTGATTCTTCCATGTTTTAGAGATGTTTCAGTGTGTCGTGTTTCTTTGTATTTCAGGTGTGTTTTTGTTGCATTATTCTGTGGCTGTATTGTTTATATTACTCTGCTTTCCCCTTACTCAGGACCTTTACTTGGCTCCCCAGTTCATGATGTGGCAATAAAGTTGCACTCATTGACGATTCACCCCGGTACCTCGACAACTATGGTTAATGCCTGTATCTCAAGATGCGTCCAGAAGGTAGAGAGCAGTCTTCATGCTTGCGCTCTGAGGGAATGCACTGAGTGTAGCACCACAGGTTCTACAGGCGGCTGTGCTGACAGAGCTTGACCTTAGGATCTTGCCGCCATGGGGTCACCAAGATGGCTGCCGAGTCTGGGTCTTAGTTTAATCCCCAGGACCCATATAATAGAAGGGAGACCTGACTCCTGGAAGTCGTCCGCTGCCCTCCACATACGCACTGTGGTGCTCATGAGCACATGCTACACACACCAATAAATGTAATTTTAAAATTTTTAAACTGGTTCTTGCATAGGGAATCTTTGACCTCTTAAACCAAGTTTTCATTTGAAAGATTTTAGAGATTACTGGTCACACAGATTGCTATTAAAACATCCTGGTTTTAGCAAAAGGTCTACACTTCCCCCTTTCCAAACACACAGCCATTAGCTGCAGGCATGGTGGGTTTAAATGGACAGGTCTGGGGTTAGCTTGACACTGGGCTTTAATGTAAATGACAATGAAAATGTAATGATCAATTCCAATTTTTGAGTTTGTTCAAATAAGATTGCTTTCATTAAGCAGCCAGATCAGTCCCATTGAGAAACAGATTTGGGCCAAGCATCTTCCCTCTCAGAGTATCAAGCATGTGGTCACCTGAGGAGATGTCGTCGAGTCTGCTTCTTGCTTCAGTCCCCCACCAGAGCTAACAACTCCCACGCTCGTCTCCCAGTGTGGGAGCACCCTAACTTAGCGCTGGAAAGTAAAGGGAGCTCAGCAGGGAAAACTCTGCCCTGTCGTAAGGAGTCTGAACAAGTGACTGAAGTACAGGCAGAGCACAGAAGTGACGGCATGGGAAAGGCAGTCTAGGACAGACAGGAAGTACCTAGGTCTGAATCAGGACACCAGCAATAGGCACGGAGATATTGGTGTTTGCTGAAAAGAGGAAATCAAAGGAGTACATGCAAGTGAGCTGCTAATGCCATCTGTAGAAATAAGAAACTGCTGGGCTTAGTTTGGGGCACACTGGGGAGCCGCAGAATAGGCCAGTGGGGGGCAAGGGTGGAGCCCTCCGAGATTGCTGTTGGCTTGAAGCTCTGCACTGGGTAATGTTCGGAAGACTGAGAAGGATGGCAGGCGGGTCTGGGAGTGCTGCTCTTGATTACAGAGTCCAGCCCCACTTCCCTTAACTTTGACCTTTCCCACAGTCACCTTGAAAACATTTTCAGCTTCCTTTCGCGGCCTTTGAAGTCTAAGATTGTAAACTGTGTGTTAGACAGAAAGGGTTGGTTTATAGAGAATGTTTCTGTTGTCCTGACTGTTGCCCTCTCCAGCATGTGACCACTACTATGTATAATCAGGTATTAAAAGCAAGTCTGAGGCTACCAGAGCCCTAGGCTCAAGAATATAGGAAATAGTTCAGTTTTTCAGTTTTTATGTAACTTCCTTTTACTTGAATAGAAATTTGTTCAACTTATGAAATCCCTTCAGGCCCTAAAGAAAGCGGACAAGCAGGTGCTGGAGCCACTGATGAGTCTGGAGGTCACAGTGACTAGAGATTACCTCAGCCCTGTCCTGGCAGATTTGGCACAAAGAAGAGGGAACGTTCAGGAAATTCAGACTCGCCAGGACAACAGAGTTGTTATAGGATTTGTTCCTTTAGCGGAAACTATGGTAAGTTCTTTGCGTTTGAACTGTACATATTGTTTAATGTGGAGATCTGAGTACAACTAGGTTGTCACTCACACCTGCGGGCTTTAGAGAATGTCAACATCTAAAGTGTCAACCATCGGGAATGACAGGACTTTGGCCTTCAGTGGTGGGTGAGCGCTCAGGAACACAGCACTTCAGACAGGTTACTCCCACCTTAGGACCACAGAGATGACGGCATACTGTACCAAAATTGGCCAGCCGGAATGACCATTTCCCCTTTCTGCCGTAGTTTTGAAGCCAGCACCATTCTCCTCCCCAGCCAGGCACTTCTGCTCCTAGGATAGGCATCAGGGGTACCCACCCCTAGGGAGGAAGGCCAGAGTCAGAGTACCAAATTCCTGAGCCTCCAAATGGATGCACAACTGACTTACCCAGGCTGGTTTTCCTGTTTGCTATAGGATTTCCTTTTCTTCCTCTTTTTTCTGAAAAGATCTAACTGGAGGCAGTGGTATGACTCTGTTGTGGTTGAAAGACATTCAGCAGGAAAAGAAACTTAAGGCCTAAGTTAAATGCAGTAACAAACTGAAATTCTTTTCATTAGGGATATTCAACTGTGCTTCGAACGCTGACATCAGGCTCAGCTACTTTTGCCTTAGAATTCTCTACGTATCAAGCCATGAGTCCTCAAGACCAAAGTACTCTGCTCAACCAGAGGAGTGGTTTGGCCCAAGTGCTTTAGGTCCTTGGAAATGTCCGGAAAAGCACTTACCTGCTCCATTCCCAGTGAGAACGGATGCTGTTTCATTCAGTGGCCGGTAAATTACTGCTTCGGGATATGGAAAGAACTCAACAAAAGATGTAGATCATGGCGTTGGTGCTGCCGTTCTAACACTCGGTGGGATGTGCTTGGCTATCAGTGCACCGCAACTGTGTGCCCTGGTTGGATCTCCTACTTCTCTGTTGCTGTGACAAAATGACCTGACCAAGGCAGCTTATAAAAGAGTTTGTTTGGGCTCAAGGTTCCAAAGGAGAGTCCATAATTGCAGGAACAGCAGGAAGCTGAGAAAGCCCATCTGAAACCTCAACCACAGAGCAGAGAGTGCAAACTCCAAGTAGGGCCAGCAGTGAGCTCTAAGTCCACCCAGTGATGAACTTCCTAAACCTCCCCAAATAGCACCACCCACTGGGAACCGTGTGTCCAAAGGCCTGGGCCTGTGAGGACCATGCTCATTTAAATTTTTCTTTTTACATGTTTTCCTTTGAATGTTTTGCCTACATACATGTCTGTGCAGTGTGTGTGCCTGGTGCCTGTGGAGGTCAGAAGTGGATGTTCATCCCTTGAAACTGGAGTTATGGATGATTGTGAACCACCATGTAGATTCAGGAACTGAACTCAGGCCTCTGTAAGGGTAGCAAGTGCTCTTAAATGCTGAGCCTTCTTTCCAGCCCACCGTTTCTCAATTAAACCATCACAGCGATGAAGGCATTCGTGCAGCCCTTTGGAGTATTTTGAGTGGAATCACAAAGCTTTTCCTTTTATTTTTTAAGCTGCTCACATAAAAGATGCCAGTATTCAGTGAGTGATACAGGTAGAGATCCAATCAATAAAAAGATGATTTATTAAAAAAGAACCGCCTAACAAATATTAATTTTACATGATTTCAAAATCAACACGATTATAGTTCAGAATGCCGTAGACTTTCCTGTTCACTTTTCCATTTTATGCTCATGGCTACAATATCCAGTAAAAAGAGGTTGTGCAGCTATGCCCCGGCTGTTGACAGATAACAAAAGAGATGTTTTAGAGTGGTGGCCCTCCCATCTCAGCTCACTTTAGCAGATCCTCCCGCTTCTGCAATGATTTAATAATTCTAATTTAAGCTACCCACTCCTTTAAGACGGCAGTTACGCTAAAACATATCTTACAGGTATTACTTTCTCCCCTGCGACAATGAATGTACAACGTCTACCAAGTAAATCACTACTCCTACTCCGTAGGTGACATTTTGATTTATCGCAAAGCAAAAAGCTGAAGACACTAGTTACACTGAGTGCTGGACTTGGGTGAGCGCCTCTCACCTGACCATCCTGCAGCGGTGTGCCGCCAGTCTCTTGTAGGCCTCTCCTAGGTCCGTGACGGTTTTAGGGCTCCAGAGTCTCTCACCAACAGCGCTTGCCCGAGGCCTGAAATTTAAAGTATGTGTCTCCCAAGACAATTTAGGTTTCTTTTTTTTTTCCCCTTAAATCATCTGCTTAAGGAAATTCTCCAGAGCTTTCCTACTTACATAGAGAATAAGAGCCCAGGCGTCCTTAAAGTCAGTTGGCATCCCTTTAATTCCTTACCATAATCTTGGAGTAAAGTTCGTGCCATCCACATATTCTCCCCATAGGCAAGCTTCTCCACCAATGACAAGTTTCTCCTCCAACTCAGAGCCTGCATTAGCGTGGTTGGAGGAAATGAAGTTAAGCTGTCTGACACTGGCTCCCTTTCCATAGTCATCCCAGGGTGCCTGCTCACCCTCCTGTAGGCAGCAGAACCTTTATTCCCACCCGGCTCAGTGCTAGTCAGCAGACACAGAGGACTGTGCTGAGTCAGGAGGAGAGCCTTGCATAGGGTCCTGCATCATCTTGTTTCCTCTGAGTGGTGTGCCAAGAAACACAAGTTGGAATATTAGCTTCATTTTAATGGACCATGACCACTATACTTATCTTTGGTTTATATTCCTTGGTGTTGAATAACAAAACAAAAAAGAGTTATCTAAGAACTTTTTTTTTCTTTTTTTCTTTTCTTTTCTTTTTTTTTTTTTTTTTTGGTTTTTCGAGACAGGGTTTCTCTGTGTAGCTTTGCACCTTTCCTGGATCTTGCTTTGGAGACCAGGCTGGCCTTGAACTCAGAGATCCGCCTGCCTCTGCCTCCTGAGTGCTGGGATTAAAGGCGTGCGCCACCACCGCCCGGCCGTAAGAACTATTTTTTATAATTATTACTTTATCCTCAAAATGCTTTCTAGAGAAAGTTATAATTTTCAGTGAATTACTACTTTTGAGACTTTTAATCATACATCATTTGTAAGCTAAAGACTGATATACAAAAACTGTAGTGCCTTTAATTCCAGCACTCGGGAGGCAGAGGCACGCGGATCTCTGTGAGTTCGAGGCCAGCCTGGTCTACAGAGTGAGTTCCAGAAAAGGCGCAAAACTACACAGAGAAACCCTGTCTCGAAAAACCAAAACAAAACAAAACAACAAACAAAAAAAACCTGTATCAATTAGAACTGCTAATAAAGTGGCTGAAAACCCAGGACTACACAGCCTGAAATCCACAGAAGCAAATGGTAATCTCACTTAGGTGTCTTACAAAGTTAACACACTCAAACATCTCCCAGATATAGAAAGCAACTCCATGAAAACGGAGGCAGAATCTAAGGGGACTACTTATATATTTATTTCTTTTAGACTAGCACATTGTCCCTTCCGAAGTTAAAATGATACCAAAGCTTTATTTTTAATAAAATCAAAGATTAGACATAAAAGGGATAATAGGCATCCAGGTTAGATTCGGGAGGAGAGAACGGAAGTTATGGAGGAAGCCAGCAGTAATGATGGTTGTTTTGCTTACCTCCAAAATTAAGAGGCTCCACTTTGTAGTAGTTTCTCCAGTCTTGCCCATAGCTAATGACGTCTAAGTACCACGGAGCAGAAAGGATTGCCCGGAAGCCAGATGATGTGACTTCTTTTAGCTTCTCTAAATACTCTTCACCCTTCCACACTTCAACCACCGTGCCCTGCTGAAGCTAAAGGTGCAGATTGCGACCGCAGCATTAGGTCTAGTGAGTACAGTCTTTAAGGACTTGGAATTGGGAGTAGTAAACCTAGCTTTCTGAGATCTTAGAAAAAATCATACAGCCTTCGTTCTTTTTCCTGATGGTCAGTGCCACGTGCTGTTCACTCACTGTGTGTTCATAGCTCTTCAAATTTCATCAGCCCTTAAAACTGGACATTTGACTTTTGGCTAACACCTCAGAGACGTAAGGAACTCAGGGTAAGATGTGCACCTTGATCCCATTCCCACCACACTAAGGTTCTACTTAACTTGGAACCATGAGACTATCACCAGCTCCCCAGAGAGGTAACCCTGGAAACTGGGCTTGTAAGATCCACTATAAATAAATAATAATTCTGTCAGGAAGAAAAGATGTCTTAAAAGTGTATATTGATTTTACCCATTTTAAAACCACTTTAACACTATGTTTTTAAAAAGCTCATTTGGGGTCTGTTTTGCTCCTAAAAACAAAAATACTCCAACTTGTGAGACAGCAGGAGTTGGGGGAGGAAATGAGGAGGAGACAGTGAGTTGTCCATATTGCTAGTGGAGTCTTGTGCCCTCATACTGTGATGTATTCACACATGTGCATGGGTGGGCTTGCCCTCCTGCTCTAATCACCGTACATACTGTAATATGTGCACACATGTGCATGGGTAGGCTTGCCCTCCTGCTCTAATCACCGTACATACTGTAATATGTGCACACACGTGCATGGGTAGGCTTGCCATCTGTTCTAATCACCGTACATACTGTAATATGTGCACACACGTGCATGGGTAGGCTTGCCCTCCTGCTCTAATCACCGTACATACTGTAATATGTGCACACGTGCATGGGTAGGCTTGCCATCTGTTCTAATCACCGTACATACTGTAATGTGTGCACACGTGCATGGGTAGGCTTGCCCTCCTGCTCTAATCACCGTACATACTGTAATATGTGCACACACGTGCATGGGTAGGCTTGCCATCTGTTCTAATCACCGTACATACTGTAATATGTGCACACACGTGCATGGGTAGGCTTGCCCTCCTGCTCTAATCACCGTACATACTGTAATATGTGCACACGTGCATGGGTAGGCTTGCCATCTGTTCTAATCACCGTACATACTGTAATGTGTGCACACGTGCATGGGTAGGCTTGCCCTCCTGCTCTAATCACCGTACATACTGTAATATGTGCACACACGTGCATGGGTAGGCTTGCCATCTGTTCTAATCACCGTACATACTGTAATATGTGCACACACGTGCATGGGTAGGCTTGCCCTCCTGCTCTAATCACCGTACATACTGTAATATGTGCACACACGTGCATGGGTAGGCTTGCCCTCCTGCTCTAATCACCGTACATACTGTAATATGTGCACACACGTGCATGGGTAGGCTTGCCCTCCTGCTCTAATCACCGTACATACTGTAATATGTGCACACACGTGCATGGGTAGGCTTGCCCTCCTGCTCTAATCACCGTACATACTGTAATATGTGCACACACGTGCATGGGTAGGCTTGCCCTCCTGCTCTAATCACCGTACATACTGTAATATGTGCACACGTGCATGGGTAGGCTTGCCCTCCTGCTCTAATCACCGTACATACTGTAATATGTGCACACGTGCATGGGTAGGCTTGCCCTCCTGCTCTAATCACCGTACATAATGTAATATGTGCACACATGTGTATGGATAGGCTTGCCCTCCTGCTCTAATCACCGTACATAATGTAATATGTGCACACACGTGTATGGGTAGGCTTGCCCTCCTGCTCTAATCACCGTACATAATGTAATATGTGCACACATGTGTATGGATAGGCTTGCCATCTGTTCTAATCATCGTACATACCGTAATATATGCACACATGTGTATGGGTAGGCTTGCCATCTGTTCTAATCACCGTATTCCCTTGAGAAAGTCTCAGTGAACCTGGAGCTATGCTGGAGCCAGCAAGTCCCAGCAACCTTCTTGTCCCAGCCCTGACAGTGTTGGGTTACAGGTGCACACTAGTGTTGTTTGAGACAGGTTTCTCTGCATAGCCCTGGCTGTTCTGGCCTCAAACTCACAGATCAGCCTGCCTCTGCCTCCCGAGTGCTGGGATTCAAGGTGTGCACCACCACCGCCTAGCCAGCCTGGCTTTTTTTCAAGTGTGTTCTTGACAATTTCACATATGTATATAATGCATCCTGATTAGTCTCTCCCTTGAACCTCCACCAATCCCTACCCCGCTGATGACTTGGTTTGCGTGACCACTGGACAGGCGCTGTCTGTTGGACCTGGTAGGGTCTCCAGTAGATATACACTGAAGGTAATGCCTCCTCTCCTTGAATCTGTCTGTAGCAGAGTTCAGCAGTGAAGACTGGAGCCCTCCCCCACCTCCCTCCCTCCATCCTAACTTCCTCCATCCTAACTTGAACATCCAACTTTTTTTTTTTTTTTTTTTTTTTTTTTGGTTTTTCGAGACAGGGTTTCTCTGTGTAGCTTTGCGCCTTTTCCTGGAACTCACTTGGTAGCCCAGGCTGGCCTCAAACTCACAGAGATCCGCCTGGCTCTGCCTCCTGAGTGCTGGGATTAAAGGCGTGCGCCACCATCACCCGGCTGAACATCCAACTTTTACAGCAGTCCTCAGGCTGGTACAGCAAGCGGTCTTACCCTCTGAGCTATCACCCCAGCCCTGAGTGGAGTTTTCAGTTCTTACCTCCACTTTGTCATCAAAAACCTCTTGCCAAACAATGGAGCTCTTCTTTAAGGATTTTATGATGTCCAGAATCCTAGCATTGAAAAAATTGACCGTTACTTAGGATCACAAAGTTAACACTCTTAAACACGCCTGTTTTCTACCACAAATGGCTTGCCATGTTGGAAGTCCTGTATCTCAATATAATATAGCTGTACAGAACCAGCTAAAGTGGCATAGTTGAGCAGGGTAGAAAGATAGGAAAAGGTTAAGGGACACGGGAAATGGAAAGAATCCTTCAGCCTCAAGACAACCTGAAATACGTGTTGCTGACTAAAGACTGCCCTCCAAAGAAAGTATACTTCCTTAAAATACCACAGGCAAGATTATTAAGATTAGTGATCCATGCTCAGGATAAAACATGTCTTTCCCTCTTATATGGAAAACTTAATTTTTAAATATTGATCTATATTTCTGACCTCCTCATATAGAAGCTTCCCCTTCTATCTTATAGAGCACTGCTGTAAACAGTGTGATTCTGAAGTCCTCCAATCACTTCCGGGACCTCTACTGGAACACTTACCCCTGATGTAGCTAACTCCTCGGGGATGCACCTGCCCTTCCTTCTAATTACACTCCAGGATTTCACTATGACTTCTGAAACTCAGCCATACATGAATGGAGATGCCTCAGGGTAGACCGCTTCGACACTGGGCTTTGTTCCCTATGCTTGTGACACATCTTTACACAACAGTGGTTCCCAACCTTCCTAATGCTGTGCCCTTTAATACAGTTCCTCATGTTGTGGTGACCCCCCAACCATCCCTCAACCATAAAATTATTATTGTTGCTACTTCAGAACTGTAATATTGCTAAATATCTGATATTTCCAGTGATCTTACAGGGGTCGAGACCCACAGGTTGGAAGAAAGGAAACCTAGCCTGTCACGACACGTCAATAACATTCAACTATTAGCTGGCACAGATATTTAGTTAGGCAACAACGAACACTTGGAAGAAAGAATACACCACACAAAATGTAAATAGAAAGGAACACAATGAACTCTGAGTCTCCCAAATGGATAGAGCAGAGCAAAGCCTGGAAAAGCAGTCCGCAGCCTTCTCTTCTGTGGCTGACAAGCTAAGAATGATTTTTGAATCTGCAAAGCTTTCTTCCTCTCTCTCTCTCTCTCTCTCTCTCTCTCTCTCTCTCTCTCTCTCTCTCTCACTCACACACACACACACACACACACACACACACACACACACACACACACACACACACGGTTCATGAAGCCCAGGGCTCTGGTCCTTTTATGGGAAAAATGTGCTGATTCCCAGCAGAGCAGCACTGTCCAGTCAGACCTTGAGAACTGGCCTGTCTAGACTGTCTGTCACAGCAGCAGCCAGTCCCCTTGCTGGAAAAGGCTGGGGATAGCTGTTGCAGCTGAGGACTTTTAACTGCCTGTAATTCTAATGAACAAACAGGCGTGTGCAGACCTGGCCGCTGTGCCCACAGCGTAAGCATCAAGAGAGACGCTCTAGCCTTGACACATGGAGTGAGTTGCAGCACCCGGATAGTGACGAGGGTGCAGGCAGCCGGGACATGGAGCCAAGTTCTCAAGACACATGACTTCGCCCTCTGTTTCAGTAGTTATTGCGAAATGCTCGCTATTTTAAAGAAAACAGTGTACAGCACTTCCTTCTTTAGTGGGTTTTCATGGCCCCAGTTTTGTATGGAAGGGGTGGAGAAAATGAAAAAGCAGAGAACTAAGTTATAGCTTCAACTTGTACAAAAGCATTGATAGGCTTTCAAATGACTTACTTTTTCATATAAAAAGATTCCAGCCTTGTAAAATCTTTCTCAAAGCCTTTTTTCTGCATGAAATTTTGGATGTTTGGATTCGATGCCCTTAAATAAAAGAGAGACGGAAATGTTATAAACATTTGGATGTGCCCAGTCTATTACTTGAAGCAGCATGTATCCAAAACACCAGTTAGATGGACCTTCAAGTATTGAAAGGAAGTCCAAGTTCTTGATTATGGGTTCCCTTAATTTTCTAATGCCAAGCAGTTTTTCCAGAAATGACTTCCCATTTTTAGAAAGACTTTCCGTACCACCCCTCCATCCTGGCCCTTTACAAAGTTAAGGACTGACTTGAACATCCTTCCCTGTTTAGTCTTTTAGGTTTTCTGAAACAGTCTCACTATAATCAGGTTGACCTTGAACTCCCAGTACTCCACATTCATTGTCCTAAGTATGGGAATTAGATATGTGCCACCAAGAGTGGTTATAGATTTTGGTATTCTTTTTTCTCGAGTCAGTGTCTTACTCTGTAGCCCAGGCTTGCCCTTGACCTTGGTTATAGGCATGAGCTACCATGCCCAGCCACTGCCCCTTGATCCTTCTTCCTAAGCTTTTACCTTGTTGGACCTCTCAAATATACATTCTTTAATAACTAACCATCTCAGGAATTGTTTAAACCCTTACAAAGAGAGATGTTACACCCCCGGCTCCGTCTTTCCTTTTTCAATGTGGATTCTGTATATCTACACTTTAAGAACAAAAACAGAAAAAAAATATAAATAAAAGGAAAAAAATTAAATAAAAGGTGTAGAGTTATCATACCAGCACCCAAAATCCACTTCATCTCCTCCCAAGTGAATGAACTGATCTGGAAAAACACTGCTGATTTCTTTGAAAAACTGGGTAAAGAATGTATAAGTTGTATTTAGAATTGGGTTTATAGGTCCAACCTTTTTTGTTTGCTTTCTTTGACTGTAACATGGAGTTAGAAGGCCTTTCTGACCTAGAAGAAAATACAAAGATTTATTTTTATGAGGATATTAATCATAAAGACCTGAATTTGCACATCTTTATGGTCCTCTTCTTACAATGGTGTTGGATCCCAATAAATGCCATGAGTTGAAAATATCAATAATCAAAATGCATCTGACACACTAACCCACCAAGTGCCGCTCAGCACACAACACACTAGCATCTGCGTTTGTGTGTCTGCTGGGGCCTGGAGTCTTCAGGACTGTGTCTACTCAATCATAGCCCTAGCCTGGGAAAAGATAAAATTCAAAGCCTGTTTCTATTGAGTATGAGACACTCTGATACCATCATAACAAACCACTGTAAACCTGATCATCTGGACTTGATGTTGTTGAAGCTATAGAAATTTTATATAGAAAAGACAACCACATTTACCAAGATTCATTTAGCAGTTTCTCCCCAGGGAGACAAGAGCTGCTTCCTCCATTCATTCCCCTTTGCTGTGTTTACGCAGCCTTTGAGGTCTTACCCACTTCAAATAGCAGTGATTCTCAAACTTTTTCTTTGTGCTTCAATACATAGTTCAGTTTCCCTGCTCAGTACAAATAGAGACCCTAGCTGCCTTTCAATGTGCCCTAACAAAAACCCAGTTCTTCTCTGGCTTCTGACAGGTCTGCTTGTGGGCCTCACCAAGCTCTGTGGTTCCTCTTCCTGGAGTCAGTTACCGAGTTCCGTGAATGTGTTTCCAGAATGTTTCTGGGTCTGCTCATTACTTTTCAAGCCGTGTTGACCCTCCCAGTGGGGGACCTCCAGGGTCTTTCTCTTTATAGTCTGTTCCTTTCACAAAGGTCTTCCCCACATGTGACCCCTCATGATATTTCTCTACTCAGAAATTTGCACTGGTTCCCAGGGCAAGCTGACGAAGCCCCCAACTGTCAACAGCCTCCTCCCTTGATGAAGCCCTTCCCAGACTCAGTTCCCCTTGTTTTCCGTGTCTACCCTGATATCACGAAGGACTGAACAATTATAAATGCTAGGTCCCAGGCTGGGTGCTTTCTATTGTTTATCTGATGCTCAGAAACTGGAGGTGAAGTGTTAACCTGCCCAAGGTTTACTCTCCAAGTCACAAAAGCAGGGTCCGAATGCAGCCAGGCTGGCACCAGAGCCCACTCTTTATCACCACCTGTAGCATTTCCTACAAGGTTTCCACTCTGTTCCCACCACACACTCTCTTTGAATGCCTTTCCTCATGCCATTCCCTTTCTGTGCTCTCCCAAAAACATGCCAATCAATAAACTGGAACTAAGTTATCATGGTCTACTTATAATGGAGTTTTCTGCTTCCCCAAATTTGACACATGAGGTAGTACCCAGACAGTGACTTAGAAGGGACACAAAAATCTGTACCATTCCTGCTACCATTGCACAAACCACAGTTAAGAACAAAACTACCAAACTATTAAGAGACAAAGGATCTTAGATGCCCCCTTTTCAACCTGTAAAAGAAACTCCTTACCTTTTCCCCAAGACTGTGTATGACCAGGGGTATCAAATTCTGGTATAACTCGAATCCCTCGGAAGCGGGCATATTCAAGCACCATATGGACATCATTGGGTGTGTACACATGAGACAAAGAATAGCTCCCCTGTAACATTCAAGTTAAGATGTACAAGATGGGTTTAGTCCTGGAAACCATAAACAATTCCCTTTGCACGCCGCCGGACAGTTTTTCTATTCTCACAGGGTAGTAAACAGTCCCGCCTAACACTGGATGATTTCTGGTTTCCGAGTAGGAATCTATAAAAACGGTGAATTTCTGCCCATTGAATTCAAGGTTCACTGGTGGGACTGTCAGTGCCTTCTGCTTCAAGAATGTCTACAGTTACTTCAACTTCGTGGAAACTGACATCAAAACAAGCAAAATGTCTGCCTCCAGAGTGGAACTCTGGTAAACACTGCCCACTTCAAGTTCAGAATCCAAACTCACCCATTATTACAAACACAGGCTTCTGTCTTTCAGCCTCTTTAATATCACCTAAAAATTCAACCCCAGATAATAAGTAACTCAATTGTGTTTAAATATTAACTCAGTCTCTGTGTCGCTTGAAGAGTTAGCACTGGTTGTAAGTAATGATGAAGGACCATTGGAAGATAAGGTTTGGCACCTGTCTCAAAATATAAGGCTATGCATGCTCAGCTTGTGGAAATCATCTTGACCTCTGAACCCCAACTCAAAATATAGGGGACATGTGAATTGATACTGTGGAATGTAACCAACAAAACCAAGACAGCAGAGACAGACAGGACACCAGATTCCATTGGTTTCTTCAATAACAATAATTTACAAGAAGAAAAGAAGGGACTTAGCAGGCACATTAACATCCATAATGCATGGACCATAAAAGGAAAAGACACACAGGTAAATATGAGCATTGACGGCTGACCAGATAAAACCAACTCTTTGCCCAAGTGAGATAAGTCTGGAGTTTGGTTTAAAATAGCGGGTCGGGGGAAGAGTAGTGTCTGCAGGTGACAGCAGAATTCAACCCCAGACAATTCTACCCCACACACTGATGGTGGAGCCGAGTACTGCATGAACTATTCTGTCCCTCTGTGCATTGGAAATTGCATATAAAAGTAGAGCAGAAGCAGCTACCACATCAGCGACTCACTGCCACAACCTTCAGCCCAAATACATATTAGAGTTAGAACTGTGGCCAGAAGACAGGAGTCCTGACAGGGCATGCAGCTTCTCTGGATGTCCGGTGACATTCTCTACTACAGGGAGATTAAGTGATGAGACCCAAGGATGACCTCCCCACCTCCAGTGCTCTAGAGTAGTCCATTTGAACACTCAACAGATACCACCAATGGGGTAGCACATGCCTGTGATCCTAGTACTTGGGAGGAAGCAAGGGGTCCACTTTCAAGGTCATCCTCAGCTACTAGGCAAGTTCAAGGCCAGCCTGAGATGGAGGAGACCCTGGCTTTCATTTTGTTTATTGAGCGGTCTCTTTGTAGTCTTGGCTGTTCTGGAACTCACTATGTAGACCAGGCCTCCCTCCAGTTTACTGAGGTCCTCCTGCCCCACCTCCCTAAAGGCGCGTACCACCACACCGGGCCTGAGACCCCCCCTACTCCCCTTACAACATCAAAAAATAAAAAATAAAAATAAAAAGCTCATCTCTAAAATGTCCTACTTTCTCTGTTTCAGAGGGAAAGAAAAGTAGGTCATTTACATGTTTCCAAACCTATTTAAAACAAATATACTGGTAGGCAAGTGAATATCTTAACTATGTTGTTCATGAATTGTTCAGGTCTTCTACATTAAGCTTTTAAAATATGCATGCTGCTCCCAGAGATTGTTTATATTTATAATAACACTTACAGTAATGGTCTTATTAGTACTTGTAACAAGCACAAAAAGATTTATGGAAACAAAATGCTAATTACATACTGGTTCCGTTTATAAGAAAACCACTGAAGCTACAATCCTCCAATGAAGCTATGCCAAGGATTTTTGTACACAGATGACGTGAATGACTCACCTTATTGCTTAGCTCAGGAAAAGTGGTACTCTGGTAAGGGAAAGACTGGTCGTCCACTATGTGCCAGTGAAGAACATTAAACTTGTTAAAAGCCATGGCATCCTGAAAGCAGACACGGGAAGAATTAGGTACCACAGGAGAAGACGGTCCGGACTGTAGCCGCCTACACTGGGATTGCTTCCGGTTCCTGCTGCTTTTTATAGTTCATTTTTAGCAAAGAAAGAATGAGGAGCGTGTAAATTCATATGTAGTCAAGCCAGCACACCTCTGTGAAAGCCCCACACAGAGCATAGACATTGTATATAGGAAGTTGTGATACTGCTGCATAGGAGAGCAAGCTTATGAATTTATCATTACTTCAGGGTCTGCCAGGAATAGGGGGATGAAGAGGCTGAGACCTCTTAGGGAGTTGAGTACAGAAGAACCAAAGCATTTATTATGTGATTATCAAAGCTTACACTTTCCACATATATGAAAGTGTAAGCTGGCTTATATGAATATATATAGGCATATGTGGCCTATCATATATGAAACATATATGATAACCTTGGCAAATGAAATTCATTATACACTCAATATAATGCCAAGCAAATGCCTAGAGAAATTCTGGGCACCTTGGTATATTGAATGTAATGTATACCATGAAGGAATACACTGTAGTTTAAACTGTAGTTTAAGGGATAAAACTACAGTTTATTCCTTAAAACTGATTCTAAAAAGGATAAAAAAAAATTACAGGATAGATTTGTGCTACCAGATGATGCAAATGTATAGCCTCCCTTCTCTCTAAAGGGACTTGGCTGATGGCAGTTGGGAGACATTTAGGATGACAGGGTTTTTATTGCCAGAGAAGGGAGTTACAAATAAGTAGTAGTAATTCGGATTGACTAATATAAACTCATTAATTTTTAATACAGACCAGGGGTTTGTAAACTTTACATAAAGGGTCAGATGGTAAATATTTCAACTTGCAGGCCAGGTTTCTATTACAGTCACTCCACCGTGACAGCTGTAAAGCAGCATGCAACAATGCATGTGTGTGTTCCAGAACCGATGGCCATGATGTTGTGATAAATGTTTCCAGGGTTTTTGCATGGCTCCTGCTTCCTAACTCCCTCCCAATGCAGGCTGTAGAAATTAGGGCTTCTCTTCCCCAAGACTGGTCATAGGCACTAATTTTGCTGGAGTTCCTGTCTTGGAGCTGGGCTTGACGAAATTCTCTGACCTATCTGGTCTGATAGTAGGTCCCAAGACCCTCCTTCTTCCGGAGGGCCCTGTCCTGTGGCCTGCAGGGAGGGATTCTGCGCAGAAGAGAAAGGATGCTGATGCTGCAGGCCTTCTGGGCTTCGCTCAGTCCCTCTCTGTCCAATCACATTCCACATGGTGCTTGTGTTTCGCCACGCCTTTGCAGTGAAGACTCCATATAACCCCCAAGGACAGGTTTCAGGGGCTTCCACATCTTCAGACCCAGGGAGGTTCCTGGAGAAATGGGCCCAGAGAGGGCAAGGGAGCCCTGCTCCCCAACCCCAACCCCGAGCACCTCCAGCCCTTGCAATGTCCTTTATAATACAGTGACAGGTGTGTTTCTAAGTTCTGACAGTCACTCTAGGAAATGATTGGAACTTGAGGGGGGAATTATGGGAACCCTGATTTGTAGTGGGTTCCCATAATATCACAAGCGTAGGTTAAAAACTCTTGGGGCTTGTGTCTGGCATCTAAAGTCAGAAAGGAGAGGGGTAGCCTTGAGGACGTCAGCTTCTGGGATCTGACACTTATCTCCAGGTAGACAGCATCAGGACTGAACTAGAGTTGAGGACACCCTGATGGTGCCCTGTTGACGTTGAAAAAAAAATCCTTACACCTTTTCAAATCACAGAAGTCTTCCAGATTAACTGTGGTTTACAAAGGTTAAACACTGTCTCTCCTGAGCCACAGCAACAACTTAACCAACTCCTGATAGAGACGGAGAGACACAGAGAAAGATGTACACATGTGTTCATATACATATATTGAACACATACAGGTACACTTCTCAGCTGTCTGGAGAGTCAGGAGGTATGGCCACCTACAGCCCAAATCTGGGTTTTGAAATACTGGCCACTGAAAGAGTTCCTTGGGAGGGGGGGAAAAAGCAAGCCTGAATCTAGACTGAGACCAGGCTATGTAAGTCTGGGATATCCTGATACCAAAAGTACAGAGGGATTGAGGGGAACATCTCACAAGAACAAGCAAGCCAGCCTAAAAGGGCTTCTGATGGCCACAGAAGGGCCAATTTGACAGTTTTACAGGGGGGTTAATGGGTTACAACCCATGAAGCAAAATGATAATCCAGACTGACAAAATAATGAGTATTCAAATGAAAAAGGGATGCTCTGCCTTACTATAAAAGGTAATTTACCACTAGTAAATGCTAAAAATGCTGGAATTAGGGAAATCACCACTTGGTGACTGGTCAAAACAATAACCTCCTAACTTAGGCAAGGATCAGCTATAAGTGAGCACCAAGGAGATACGGGAGTTTTACATAGTCCCACAATTTCTTCCACAGGGTACTTGATCAACACAAAACACCCGAAGGTTAACTTTACAGTGGAGAAGCGTGGCGGATGCCATCTCAGCCAACCTGAGTGTACATTACCCACATTACCCGTAGTGAGACAGCGTACCACCCGACACTCTCTGGGAACACAGCCCCCCTCCTGCTTTATTCTTGCCCCAGGAACTGAATCTCATGTGAAAAACAGATGACCTAAGATAGCTTCTAAAAGTAACTGGCCTGTACTTTTCTAAAATATCACAGTCTTCCAAAATGAGGAAAGAGAACAGCTCCAGGCTGAAGGCCACTGAGGAGCTGGAACACGGAACAAGGATATCACAGATCCCGCCGGGTGCTGTACCATAGCCAGCCATGGAATCTGCCCTGCAGGTAGACTGGGGGCACATGCTATCAGCTTCCTGCTCCTGACACTTGCACTGAAACTATTTTGAGATATGTTCTTTCTATTAATAGGAGACACAAACTAATAGTAGGGTGTTTTGAGTCACCCATTGCATGGACCCATCGGGCATTCCGATAGGAAGAATCAGGCAAATATAAGCTTAAGGAAGTTTCACAAATATTTAAAATTTTTCAATCCTAAGCTCTAAATTCATATATTCTCGATGAAAGAATATATGAAAGGTCTCTGTAGTCTTCTAAAAAGTTTAAGCAGCTGGCAGATGGTAGTTGGGGGCAAAGCAATGAAAATCTCCCAGGAAAAGATGATTATGATCAACCTCCTTCCTACCCACTTCCATATTCTTTTAGAACATTTCCAAAGGGAAAAAGCCACGGCCTGACCCCTTTCTACATCACCTTAAAAAACAAATAGCTAGAGTGATTTAGCTGTTTTTCCAGGTTATGTATAGACCCCTGACTGATGAATTCAAGCATGTACTTTGGCCATTGGCAGTATTTAAAAATGCCTTTCTCTGCTGGACATGGTGGTACATACTTTTAATCCCAACACTTGAGAGGCAGAGGGAGATAGATCTCTGTGAGTTCGAGGCCAGCCTGGTCTACAAAGCGAGTTCCAGGACAGCCAAAGCTGTTGTTACACAGAGAAACCCTGTCTTGAAAAACCACCAAAAACAAAAAAACAAACAAATAAAAATCAAACTGCCTTTCTCACTAAACGTAGATAATCCCATTGCTGAGGCAGGAGGATTGGGAGCTTACAGGCAACCTGGGCTACATACCAAGGTCCTGGCTTAAAACAAAAAAATTCTCTTAACAGTCTTGGCCAAATTCATGTAGTCTGTGAAAACAGAGGAGATCCACTCAGGGTGCCGCCATTTCACAGGGGGAAACATTCTTCCCCGGGGAGGGAGCCAGGCAGTGTTTAGACTTAAGAAAAACAAGTCATTCCACTCCAGCCTACAAGACAAGAGATAACTGAGGAAAGGAACCTTAGGGGCAGATCTTCTGGAAGAGCAAGGATCTAATAAAGCAATTACCTACCAGAGTTTTTAAAATTGTCTTCATGGGCAGGTAGTGTCTGGATGTATCAATTAAAATTCCTCTGTGAGGAAACCTTGGAGAATCAGTAATAGTGCATTTGCTGATGGTGAACTAGGAGAAGAAGTAAATTTTGATGAGCTTTAGAATGTTTTTCTCAAGTTCAACAAAGACTACAACTATATAAAAGTACTGGATAACAATTTAAGACCAGGGGCTGGAGAGATGGCTCAGAGGTTAAGAGCACTGGCCGCTCTTCCAGAGGTCATGAGTTCAATTTCCAGCACCCACAGGGTGGCTCCCAACCATCTGTGATGAGATCTGGCGCCCTCTTCTGGCTTGCTGACATACAAGCAGTAAGAATACGTACACAGAAAATGCAGGAAATTTGTAAGATAAATATATTGGGGAAAGCAGCTTTCAGAGGGGCAGCTGGGCAGGCGGCATCTTAACAGCAGTGTCTATTCAGGTTCAGTAAGACAATGGGAATACTTACAGCCCCCAAAGAGTCTTGGTAAACTAACTGGCTAAACGTCTCTAAACCTGGGGGAAGCAAAAGACATTGTGTTATTTACAAGATGAAAAACTGAACTGAAAAGGAACATCCAAACAGGCTCATGACCACAGGGTGAAGAGTTAAAGCAAGTACGACATCCACACTTTCTAAAATGCAGCACTCTCCTCTGCCCCCTGCCTCCCACCTGTCTGCAGCACACATCCCTTTCACGGGCTCCTCTAAACCTGCTGAGGGCTCTAAACCCACTGGCAGAGGAAACTGGGAAAGACAGACACTTGTTCCTGAAGGTGGCAAGAAGGCATTGGTGAGCCCAAACCAAAGCTGAACCAACTGGGGGCCACCGAGCCACGTATTACAGCCCAGTGTTGGAACAAGGTCCATGAATGGAGTTGTGTGAGGAGATTTCTGAGTGCTTGTGAGAACACTCCAAGAAAGCAAGACAAGAGTCTTGTAACCTCCGTTTCTTCACAGAACTGTTCTGGGATCATGCTTTCGTGCTCCTCCCAGGTATAGTGAATAGGGAAGGAGTTTACTTCAGATTATTCCTTATAACTGACTATTGTTATTTGTATCTCTCTATGGAAAAACATGTTTCCGCCACGTGAGCCTTGACTACCACATGCAAGGACTGCCCGTCACTTTATACTCTGAGTGTTAAGAGTCACATGAGTGAAGTGTCCGATGCTCTGAATAAACACCCACCCCCCCAGATGTTTAAAAGGTCAAATGAGGAAGTAGGAAATCTGAGTAAATAAGAACGGTGTACTGAAGACCGTTTGCATTTCTGATCTGGCAGTTCAGACCTGAGGAGATTAGTGGTGTGAGGAAGGATGCCCAGGGGCCTGGCTTGAACCCCTCAGCTGCCTGGGATTCACTGAAGTGAGTGAGACACAAGGTCTCTGGGGTTCAAGCTGGAGCATCTCGGGTTGAAGGAATCTAAGCGATTGGCTAGTTTTTCACAGGAAATAAAGAAGAGGGACCCAAGGTGGCATAGTTTTGCTGTGCTTGATTTTACAAAGCAACATATGATAATATCCCTCTACTAGAGACAATGAAATTGCACAGAACTTACCTCGTAATGCTCCCCAAACACTGTTGGCCTTGAGGAAAGCCACTGGTTCTTGCACAAGTAGAGAATCTGTGGGGTAGGGTTGGTGAACTTTGGTTAATCCCAGAGTGATGCAGAGTCGATTTTCCACATTTACCATGGGTATTTTCACACCATTTTTTTTTTTCTCTTTCCTCCGGCATGCCCCACTCAGATTCCTTCAACTCAAGATGTCCCAGCCTGACCAGCCCAGAGACCTTGTGTCTCACACAGTTCAATGAATCCCAGTGGCATAGACCAGGCAGCTAAGGTGTTCAAGCCAGGCCCCTGGGCATCCATCCCACCCACCACCAATCTCCTCAGGTCTGAACTGCCAGATTAGAAATGCAAACAGTCCTCAGTACTCACAGTCCTTATTCATACTTCCTACTTCCCCCAAGGTGAGTTCACGCCACTTCTCCTTCATTTGTCCTACCTCCCCGGCCCTGATTTATCACCTTTTAAGACTTGCTTTCTAGCTCCCTTTACCTAAATTCAGTTTCATCTCACTCAATAAGAAATCCTCAACCGCTGGGCGCTGGTGGCGAGCACCTTTAATCCCAGCACTCAGGAGACAGAGGCAGGTGGATCTCTGTGAGTTTGAGGCCAGCCTGGGCTACAAAGCGAGTTCCAGGACAGGTTCCAAAGCTACACAGAGAAACCCTGTCTCGAAAAAACCAAAAAAAAAAAAAAAAAAAAGAAAAGTCCACATCCATCAAAAATGGGACTCCAACCAGGCATGGTGGGTGGGAAGGAACTGGCCTTAATCCCAGAGCTCAGGAGGTTTAAGGCATGAGGATCATAGGTTCAAAGCCAGCCTGGGCTAAACAGGAACCCTGTCTCAAAACAAAAACACCCAAAAGAGTATAGAGTTCTGTGTAGTTGGCTGGGCTGGGCCAAGAGGGTCTTATCTTTCAACTTTTGGAATCAGACTCTGCCCAAGTTTGACCAACAGTAATTTTAGTCTCAGTGCAGCCTGGGGCAAGGTGGGCACAGAGGGTACAGGCAGCGAAAGCTGAAGCGTCAGGGACAGACTGTACCACAGAAGAGGCACTGGAGGTTGGAGCATAATGATTTAGTATCATATCACCTGGACTGGGTCATCGCCTTCTACCTCCTGACTGTCAGAAGACAGGGGCGGGCGGGCGGGCAGGCAGGCAAGGACAAGATGTGTCAGTCACGTGACATGCTCAGCTGACAGTTTTCTACCAGAACAGCTTTTCTCGTCCCAAGTCCACAGTGCTGAGTGAGCGGGACGCCAGACTTAGAAAGGTTTTTGCTACCGTGAGTGTAATTGAAGAGGCCTCCTTTTTCCCCCGAAATAGCTGAGGTCGGGCTTATAGTTAAAAGGCTCCTGACTCAACTCATCGAATCATATATAGGAGTTAGACTTACCTGCTAAGTATTCAGACAGAGCTATAGAATTTTAACTTCAAAACCAAATCAGGTAGGGACTCACCTTTGTGTGCTGGGGGGTGGGTAGGAGGTGATGTCTTGACCTTTCAACTATCTCCTTCTGTACCTATTTGCACTGTGAATACCTTTGTTTTAGAGGGTATCTATACAGATATCAATAATTAAAATACTTGAGATGCTCATCCAGTTCTCTCTACCTCCCCCAAATGAAATTCTATTAGTTCTTTTCCTGGGCAATTGTATAATGAAAAAAATAAAACATTCTTTATCTGCAAGTTCCTGTGTGTTGCTGTATGAATGGTATATTCCCCTCCATGCTGTACAATTCCTTTGTCCAACACGGCAGTTTGTTTTGGTAAGTTCTGCATGTCTGTCTGTCTGTGGATTAACATCTATCTGTTCAGTCAGTCCTCTACCAGCTGACAGTGAGCTCATTTTGTTTATAACTCTTCGTTACAAGTAAATATCTTTGGTGTATGTGGCTACCTCTCTACAGGAGAAATTGTTTCATTTCTAGTTCTCGGGGTATGCCTGTCTTTATTTTTAACAGAGGGGGTTGGGATTTTGCGTTTGTGATGCTGGCGAATCTCCTAAACACTTACCGTAAGAAGCTTCCTTTTGAGAATATTGTTCACAGAGCTGGCTTAAATAAAAGCTCACTCTTCAGTCTCAGTGCACCCTGTTTTCTAGAATCTACCATGGGTCGTCTATATTGCTGATGGTAATGGACAGCAAAGTGTCCTTGGCAGTGCAGTGGCCATTTCTAGCTCAATTCAGACTGCAAAACTTACTTCCTATAGCATCTACGTGCCCATTATCCACTAAAATCATATGGCTAGTGTTGGTAAATTACTTACTCCTCTCCCAAGGACAGCTAGAGAATTGAAAAGAAATGAAACTATTTCCCTAAGGTGTTGGGGAATATTATTTTAAGGTGTGTTACTTTTGTTTATGCTGCATTTGTTTAACTCTGTGAAGCTGTGTTACTGTGCCTGTCTAAAACACCTGATGGCCTAATAAAGAGCTGAATGGTCAATAGTGAGGCAGGAGAAAGGATAGGCGGGGCTGGCAGGCAGAGAGACTATATAGAAGGAGAAATCTGGGGGAGGAGAGATCTAGGAGTGAGAGAAAGAGGAGGACACCAGGGGTCAGCCTCCCAGCTACACACCCAGCAATGGAGTAAGAAAGGTATACAGGAATAGAGAACGGGAAAAGCCCAGACAGAGGCAAAAGAAAAATGGGTTGATTTAAAGTAAAGAAAAACTGGCAAGAAACAAGCCAAACTAAGGACGGACATTCATAATTAAGAATAAGCCTCCATGTGTGATTTTTTGGGGAGCTGTGTGGTGGGCCCCCAAAGAGACAAAGATTCAGGAAACATCCAACAACGCTAAGAGTGGTGTATTAAGAAAGCTCATCTGGGGGCTGGAGAGATGGCTCAGTGGTTAAGAGCACTAGCTGCTCTCCCAGAGGACCTGGGTTCAATACCCAGCACCCACATGGCAGCTCACACCCATCTGTAACTCCAGTTCCAGGGCTTCTGACACCCTCACACAGACACACATGCAGGCAAAATACCAATGATCATACAATAAAAATAAATTTAAAAAAAGATTCTGACTCAAAAACAAAGGTAAATAAATGAATAAACAGAATGCTAATAAACAACATAATTTTAAAAAAAGAAAGAAAGCTCCTCTGTGTTGGAGGGGAGACATGGGTGCTTGGCCACCTGTAAAGGAGCAGTCCAAGGGTACAGGGGTCACTCTTGCTCCATCTCTTCACATTGTGGCTCTGACTCCTCGGTGGCATTCCACACCACTGCCAGCCATCACACCCTGCAGAGAAGGTATGCCCCAGGCTGTGGATACAGTCCCGTGGGCAGCCTTGTCTGGTCTGTAAGATGCTCTAATTTGCCAGGCCGGAGAGACGGCTCACCACTTAAAAGTACTTGCTGCTCTTCCAGAGGACCGCAGCTCAGATCCTAGCACTCAGGGCTGGTGGCTCCCAACCACCTGTAACTCCATGTCAAGGGCTCTTATGCCCTCTGTGAGTTCCTGCAGGCACATGTGTGCATGTACACACACACACACACACACACACACACACAATCTTTTAAGAAGACAAAAGAAATAGCCTAGCCTCAAAAATGAAGATTAGTCTAATTCTATCATACAATTGTGGAATAGTGAGGCATTAGAAATTATGTCACAAAAGAATACTTAATAGTTATGTTAAAATGTAAGTCAAAATCCACATGTACAGAAACTCCCATTTTCTTTTTTTGAGATAAGGTCTTACCCTAGCCCAAGCTAGCTTCAATTCACTGCAGTCCTCCTGCCTCAGCCTCCCAAGTGCCATGCTCGGCTTATTCCCATTTTTCATATTAATGTTTGTATTCATAAAAAAAAATTTGCTTGCAAACATACATATTGGACACCTGAAATGGCAGTGGGCTGGGATGATGGACAGGTGAGCTCTCCTTCCTTCCGTACCTCCTCCTGAACTTACAAGTTTTCCACAATGACTACATTTTATAATAGGTACTTACATGACTCATCTGAAGATATATTAGGGAAGGAATCACACTGTGACTCAAGGGTAATTGTGACCTGAAGTCGCTGTAACTGTGGTTCATCTCCAGAGATAACAGGGCTATGATGCCACTTGTAGGAACCAAAAATGTAGTTGTAGTATCTGTGGGAGAAATCCATTTAAGTAATGAACCAAATCGTATGTTTGCACTTGCTGGTGGACACGGAAGTCAACTCTCAATTCTCTCTGGGTGTTTTCAGAACTGTTAGGGCAGCGGTTCTCAACCTGTGGGTCGCAACCATCAGAAAACATATTTCCGATGGTCTTAGGAACTGAAATACTGCTCACTAGCAAAATCACAGTTGTGAAGTAGCAACAAAAATAAATGGACGGTTGGGGGTTCCTAAGACCTTTGGCTAGATGTGTTTTCTGATGGTTTTGAACCCACGGGTTGAGAACCGTTGAGAACCCTGCGTTAGGGGACCTTTCTGGAAATCCTCATGTCCAGAGCTTCAGATCAAACTTTCTGAGATAAGATTCATAGGAGGAAATTTAGAAAGCTCTTTCACACTGTGAAAGGTACTGTACACACGGTGCACAGAAACACATGCAGGCAAAACATCATACACAGAGAAACGAATAAATATTTTGTAAAGTTACCATGGAAAAATTTTGTATGTATTTTACCATAATTAAAAACTTAGGGCTGAGGAGATGGCTCAGCAGTTAAGAATACTCACTGGCTGCTCCTCTAGAGAACCTGGGTGCAATTCCCAGCACCCACCTGGTGGCCCATGACCATTTATAACTGGCCTTCACAGGTACTGTACACACGTGGTGCACAGACATCTTGCAATCGAAATGCCCATCCACATAAAAATAATTTTTCGTTGTTTGTTTTTCAAGACAGGGTTTCTGTGTGTAGCTCTGACTGTCCTAGAACTCACTCTGGAGACCAGGCTGGCCTTGAACTCAGAGATCTGCCTGACTCTGCCTCCTGAGTGCTGGGATTAAAGGCGTGTGCCACCACCACCACCACCTGGCTATAAAGGAATACTTTTTTTAAATTAAAAAATGAAAAGGAGCTAGCAATGTAGCTCAGTGGTACAGCTTTGTCTAGTATGTGCAAGGCCCTCCCAGTGTGGGGTAGGGTAGGGTAGGGTGGGGTGGGGTAGGGAGAGGTAGGGTGGGGTGGAGTGAGACAGGGAGGGACCGCTAACCAGCTTTAAGATCTGAGGTCTGAGTTAGGTGCTAGCTAGCCTTCCACTTAAATAAAGGATTGAAGCTGTTCTTTTAAAATAGGTGTTCCAGGTCAGATGTGGTAGTCCACACCTTTAATCTCACCATTTAGGAGACGGAAGCTGTTGTGAGTTTGAGGTCATCCTGGTCTACCTGAGGCCAGCCAGGGCTACACAGTGAGACTGTCTCTCAAACAAAACCAAAACACAAAATAGTGCCTTCTGTTTAGTAGTTTTTTGGGGGGCTGAAGAAGCAACCTCACCGACCAGCATTGTTTGTGATGGGGCTTGGGCTCTTAATGATAGAAACCACGGAAATCTGAACAGTTTGTATGAATGTACACTACCCAGAGTTCCCTGAATAACCCTGCATCTCCAGAGACTTCCAACCCTACCATGGTGGCCAGAGTTACTAGGCCACAGCCGCATGCTTTCAAGGTTAGCCATGTTTTACAACCAACTTCCAAACAATGCCCGGTGCAATTACTAGCTGCTTCTCATACAAGCCACAAATTAGTTGGGCAAATCCTTCAGGTATTAATTACCCGCACTTGTTTCGAGATGCCAAGCCTGTTTTCAAACCACCTCACAGCTGATTCAAGTCCTTGTAACTGTTGTATCCATTAACAAGTAACTTAACACCTGCTCAAGCTCATATTGAGGGGGAAGGAAACTCCAGCTTTACAGTCAGCCCTAAAACAAGCAAGCTCTTTTTAAAAGCTGTCCAGTCTCCCAAGTGCTGGAATTAAAGGCATGGGCCACCGCCTGGCCTACAGCGTGACAGGAAAGGCGCAAAGCTACACAGAGAAACCTTGTCTCGAAAAAACAAAAACAAAACAAAAAAAAAAAGGCAAAAAAAGCTGTCCAGTCTAGTGACTGAGTTACGATCCTAAACATCTCAATACCACCAGCCACTTTGGTTTAACATTTTCATGCCACCTGGACCATAAGCATTCTAACCTGTTAGCAATTCAACCCCACAGGCTCATTAGAGCAGGCTTCCAAAATGAGGCGATAATGCCCTCCCAGTTCCACAAATGGTAAGCAAAACAGTAGCCTTTCTGTGGCAGAGGGCACCGCTGTTCCTGCCAGCAACGCCAGGGCCTCTTCAGGAGAAGCACCGCGGCCTAAATCACCCATCCTTAACTTGGTGTTGCATTTCCTCCGGGCAAAATTAAGTTATAGTTGAATTCTCCAAGCAGACAAGATCTGAGAGCGAAAGCTAGCTGCACAACTGGCCCCAAATTACAGTTCCCTGGAGCAGTCCCGCCCACACAGGTCTCGCACTGAGGGGGGCAGAAGGTGGCACATTCAGGCATCACTCCAAATGCAACCTAGCCTGCACTCAATACGGTTGGGGTGCCTGCCTGGGGGCGCCCTCTGCGCCCTCTTCGGCAGAGCTTGAGAGGGCTGTAAAAGATGAAGCGCTAAATAAGGCAAAGGGTTTTAGGGAACCTCGTCCGAGGGGAAGAAGCCAGGGTGGTGAGGAACAAGAAGAAACGCGGGTGTTTATCTAAGAGCCATTTGAAAGCACTCAGATTTGAATACCTAACACTAGGTATGGAACACAGTTTGGACGGGAGGGGTTTCCCCACAACGCTTCAGCGTAAGGACTTTTTTCAGAGCTGGGGAAGGTAGCTCAGAGGTTTAGAGGCCTGACTGGTCTCACAGAGGACCTGGGTTCGGTTCCAGTACACGCACTGGGGGCTCACACCAACATTCCATGTCCTCAAGTGTCTGCGGTTACCTCCACACCTCGTGGTACACAAATTCACGGAGGCTCGGCTACACTTAAAAAATAGAAGAGAGGAAAGACATCTGAATTGTTGCCACCTATGGGGAGGATGGGACTGGAAGCGACAGTCAACCCTGGGGAATACCTCGGGCCCTCAAAAGGTCCTTACCTAAACCCTGAAGATGCTCTCATGGGCGGCTCACAGTAGCGGATAGGAGCCACCTTCCCCTCCCTATCTCCGGAGCCATCTCAACTGCCCTTCCGAGGCCAATAAACTGACTGATTAAAGCTGCACGTCCCACTGTTATCCTGCACCCAGATCAGGGACCCTGAGCACCCAGGGTGCGCAGGAAGCAGCATGGGCAGGTCAAGCCTCGGGCTTCGGTCTGCATAGGTTAGACCTGCCATGCCGTCTTGCAAACCTGTGAGAGCAGGTTGCCTGGTGGTCGGTCTCTACGCCCCAGGTCCCCTCCCGGCCGGGTGAGGCTGCTTACCTCCGGAACGCCTCCTGCAGCAGCGAGCAGAAGGGGTCCGCGGTGGAATTGGGACCGTGGACGAAGAGGAACTTGTCCGGGGCGATGTTCAGCAGTTGCGGGGACATCTGCACGGAGCGCGGGTACGGCCACAGCGCGGGTCCCTGCTGGGCCCGGCCCTGCGCCGCCTGCGCCGCCTGCGCCGCCAGCGCCAGCAGCAGCCCGGGGAAGAGGTGCGGGCACTGTCGCATGGCTGCTCCGAGGTCTGTCCCGGCAGTCTTCGGACCTGACTTCTTGCCCCAGCTGCAGGGAAAGAAGCGTCCGTGCCCGGGTCACCGAGTCAGATGACCAAACTTCCTCCCCGTCCGGGCTCCGCCTCTGAGCCGGGAGCCGCCCGGAAATTGGGCCGGGCTGGGTACCGAGGCGGCTGCGCATCCAGCCGGGACACGCGGTGTCCCACGAGCGAGCGCCTGTCGTGCCTGGGGAACCCCAGCCTCTGCTAGACCGAAAAACAGGCGCTCTGGCATCACCTGTTTCTTCCTCTACGCCCCCTACCCCACCTCACCCCCAATGGTGCCTTTGCCACCAAGTCTAGATGGTTGGTGAGCTCTGATTGATAAAACCTCCCGATCAGAATTCCCTAGAAGTGACTTTGGAACGGATGGTAGGTTACAATTTATTCATGAAAATAAAAAACGGACTTTTTTTTTTTTTTTTGAGCATTTAAAACTTCAGAGGACGACGTGATGGACCATGTTGATAGTAAAGTGATACAAGGAGATTAATGTCGACGTTTAAAAAGATCAGATAGAGCGAAAATGCATCAAAGATCACAATAGGTCTAATCACAGTACGACTGATGGGAAGGGGACTTGAAAAACAGGTGTTAGAAGATTACTCAGTGAAAGACTCTTGGGGGGCTCTTCCAGAGAGTCGATTTCCAGCACCCACTTGGTGGCTGGCAACTGCCAGTCACTCCAGTCCCCGGGAATCAACACCCCTCTCCTGGCCTGCGACGGCGCCAGGCCTGCACGTGGTGCATATACGTACATACAGACAAAACACTCATACACACAGGATAAACAAGACATTTCTAAATGTTCTTAAAAGGAAGATGGCTAAGGGGTTCAAAATTGGGTTGTGTCCCAGTACCCCGCATCCCTAGTTATGAAAAACAGAAGAGGGAATAATCCACTTATCATAAATTCCTCAGAGCAACTTACATATTAATTTGTGGCAGGCCTCTCTGTATGTAACATTTGGACATAAACACATCTAGATACAAGCAATGTTACCAGACCCTGTGTCTCCTCCCCATCATCTTACCTCCAAGTTTCCTCTCTTGGCTTCATTTTCAGGCAGGTTTTCTCCACATGACGTCATCCTGGCAGCTACCAGGGGTCAGGGCCAACTCCTCACAAGAAAACACATGTCCAACCTCGTTCACGTCTCTCCTGATAAAATCACGATCCCAGTCAACAAGCTTGATTTCATAACCTGTGGGAGAAAGCTAGTGGATTCCCTCCCATTAGCAGCATAGATGGAGATGTGAACAGGCGTTTTGTGAATGCAAGGAGAATGAAGTGCCAGGCAAACCGAAGCCACACGTATCCACAGCAAGTAGTCCGAAAAGAGGGTTGCAGGAAAAAACTTCCAAAAATTGTTATGGTACATGCTGAAAGTCGAGTTCTTCCATGAAAGCAAACCTCAGGGTCACATTACTCTCCCCAGTTCCTGTAAGGAACATAAATTTTCAGTGTCTATTTGTGTTGTTGAAATTACCATATACACAATGACATCACCTTATATGTTAGTTATCTATTGCTGTGTAACTCTAAACAAGGTCATAATGAGATGATGCATATCACACACCTGTCTTTGTTAGTCAGGAATTCAAAAAATGCTGTGTAGTGAGCTGAGCTCACAATCACCCGATGATGCTGTGTCTTCCTTTCCAAAACTGTATGTATACAAAGCGGAGTGTGTTTTCATCACATGCCTTAGTCCCAGACTTGGGAGGCAAAGGTAGGTAGATCTCTCACTTTGAAGCCAGTCTGCCCTTATACATAGGGAGTTCAAGACCAGCCAGAGCTACATAGTGAGACCCTTCTCAAAAAAAAAAAAAAAAGGGTTAACAAACACACAATTGTGTGTATAAAGCGAACTTCTTCCTTAACTAAAGGTCTATGCTCTATAAACAAGTTATTTGCCCCTCTCTGCTCAAAATACAACGGTAAAATGGGCACAGAACAACCAGTAGGAACTCCAAGAAGGAAACAATTCTACTCCAAGAAGGAAGCAGGAGGCACCGAGTTGTCTGTAGCAATTCCCAAGCCAAGCCAGGCAAAAGTTGGAGGAGCCTTGATTAGGATTGAAATTCTGGGCACACTTTTCTGAAGCTCTCACCTCTGGGCAGTTCTGCCTGTCGACTGTCCCATTTTTAATGACAGATGTGCCAGCATTAGACTGGGTTTCTCAGTCTCCTTTCTACTAGCTGAACTTTGAGGCATGTGAGGACCCATTAGATGGTATGTCTGTACCTTTGAAGCTGATAGTCTTCCTACTGATATAACGCCTTAAAAAACTTTACGGAGTGCAGGGCAGTGGTGGTGCATGTCTTTACTCCCAGCACTCGGGAGGCAGAGGCAGGAGGATTTTTGTGAGTTCGAGGCCAGCCTGGTCTACAAAGTGAGTTCCAGGACAGGGTCCAAAGCTACACAGAGGGACTCTGTCTTGAAAAAAAAACCCCAAAAAACAAAAACAAAAACAAAAAAAAAACCCAAACAAACAAAAAAACCCAAACAAACAAACAAACAATAAAACAAAACAAAAAAAACTTTATGGAGGAATGGAGCTGGATCTGACCCCCAAGCCTCCTCCCAGAGGACTAGCTTTCATCGTACTGGAAGTTGCTACGCAACCTGCCAATCGAGGAAAACAATGAAAGGTCCTACCCACCTGTGAAGTCTATGAACTACAACAATAACCAGCTTGGCAAGATATCCTTCAAGGTGCAATAGTGGCACTTACATCGGAGGGGTACACAACAGCTGTCTGAGGGGTACACAACAGCTATCTGAGGGGTACACGGCAGCTGTCTGAGGGGTACACGGCAGCTGTCTGAGGGGTACACAACAGCTGTTGTCTAAGGGGTACATAATAGTGGAAGCTAGAGTCTTCCTGCCTGGCCCACAGCCGCTCAGACCCAACCAAGTAAACACAGAGACTTATATTGCTTACAAACCGTATGGCCGTGGCAGGCTTCTTGCTAACTGTTCTTATAGCTTAAATTAATCCATTTCTATAAATCTATACCTTGCCACGTGGCTTGTGGCTTACCGGCATCTTCACATGCTGCTTGTCATGGTGGCGGCTGGCAGTGTCTCTCTCCACCTTCCTGTTCTCTCCTTTCTCCTCTCTGTTAGTCCCGTTTATTCTTCCTGCCTGGCCACTGGCCAATCAGTGATTTATTTATTGACCAATCAGAGCAACACATTTGCCATACAGAACATCCCACAGCAAATAGTAGCTGTCTGAGGGGTACACGGCAGCTGTCTAATTGGACTTAAGGCCTGCAGCTTTCTTGTCCGTGGCTTTGATGACACTGACAACAACCTCCTGTCTCAATCACAAACAGCAGAACAATCCAGAGCAGCAGAGTTAGAGAAGCCCTCGACGTGTGGACTGGCTCGGCACCGTGCTGACGATGGCCGTGTCTCCAGATTCCTGTGATTTAGGGCCGCCTTCCAGCATCTTACCAGAATGTCCATTAATCTTCTCTTTCAGTTCAGCGAACTTGCTGCGAGGCAAGTGAAAACCCGGTGCAGGGGTAGGGTGAGGACTAGTCTGGCCTGGATGGTTTGGGATAGTCACTTGAATAGTGTAGCCAACTGCCTCCGCTCAGGGGTCATTTTTGCCATCACCAGCAATGCTGCGGAGGTAAACATCTTTGACAAACATACATTCTTGACATTGAAGGCCACTTGGTCCCCAGGAGGTGCTCACTCAAAGCCTCACTTTAGTTGTGACATGGACGGCAGCAAAAGTGATGGACATGATGTATTTGAGAAGACGTCAGCCCACAGGGACATTACCATACCAGTGATTTCTAGACACCCAATATCTAGACAATATATAGATCTGAATGCGTATATCAATTGGTCAAGTGGAGGGCAGGGATGTGGTCCCACTGGTATCTTCACGGATGACTTCTGTTCCCTTGACCCAAGGTATATTCGCACATCAATGGCTCTAGCATGTTGTCATCATTCCAAACAGAAATTGGCACAAATGCTATCACATCAGAGTTGTAGCCAGTTTTTTTTTTTTTTGTTTGTTTTAAATGTAAATGGTGTTTGTTTACATCTCTTCTGGCCGTAAGGTGGCCCGGTGGAATGAATTTTGTTATTGTCAATATTTAACTATTTCACACCCAGTGTGAAGCACAGGACATGCTCACAGGTCTTCCATTGTGGGAGGTACCAGCTTCAGATTCACCAGCACCAACAATCAGGCAGCCTGGTTAGGCCTGGATGTGATGTGGTTGTGTTTTGGATAGAGTCTCTTTGTCCTGGAGCATCAATTATAATCAGATAGTATTTGTGCATCTCAAGTTTCCACAAGATGTCCTCAGCAACGCCATGCTCACAGCAAAGACCCAGGTGTGCTTGCAGGAGCCCTGCCCAACTCAGCCTCCTCAAAATTCTCAGGGGTTATTTTGTGGCTCCCACCGCATTTCTAGATCAGATGGCCAGTAACGGTGACTTAACCGAATCCATGTGTCAGTGATGTATCTTTGAGATGTATCGTTTCCTTCTCCTTAATTCCTGGCTTAGAATTAGCAAAAGTTTTTTTTATAACGTCTGCGTTCTGATGATAAACCTGTTGCGACCCCTTGGCACCCAAGTCTTCCAGTCTGTTTGACACGTGTCCTTTCTCATGTCCATTGAACATCAGTAAGGCTTTCGTTGTTCCGGGAGCTGCTGGTACTAAGTGGTGGTCTCTCATTCCCAGTGTGTAGTTACCGTTCCGTTGCTATGATACAATACCATGACCAAGGCAACTTTACAGAAGAATTTATTTTGGCTTATGGTTCGGAGGAAGAGTCTGTAGCGGCAAGGAAGCCGTGGCAGCAAGGGGCCAGAGCAGGAAGCTGAGAGATCCTATTTCCCACGACAAACATAAAGCAGGACGCAGAGAGAGTGAAACGGATGAGGATGAGGATGAGGATGCAGCTCACCTCCAGCGACCTACTTTCTCCAGCAAGGCTGCAGCTCCTCAAAACACCACCAACTTGGGACCAAGTGTTCAAATACTTCCGCTTCCAAGGGACATTTCTCATTCAAGCCGCCATATTGGTTTGTCCCTAGAAACCAAGGTGTCGGCCTGGCAAGATTTTTGCTGCCTACCCTACCTTGCTAACCCTCCCGTCCGTCTCTGGCAGGAATACAGCCACTGAGCTAAC